TTAGATTCGTTCAAGAAGTGTTGGTGCGTAGCAGAAATTCGCGTAGAAATTGGGCAGAAATGCAATCATTGCACTGAGTGACGTCAGAAAATGCAGCATCGAGATTCGAGAGCCAACCATTCCGATTCCAATTTGCGTAGCCCGAAATTGCATCTATTTCAGACCTTTAATGCCAATTTGAATCGAATCTTGAAAAGCGTGTGAAGTTACGGGAGAAATTGTTTAACCTGATAATAGTGTACGCAACCTGGCATGCACTTGAATAGCGCGCCTCGGCTAAGTAGCATGCACCTGAAAATGGCCGATTTCCCATGGTCCATTCCATGCGCGTCACCTCACCACCACCACTTGTCAAAATTCAAGGACAACGGCATGGCATGGCATGGCATGGATGGGGGGAAATGGGAATCGTTCGACTTGTGTGTTCGTCCTTGCAGCTGGGGGGCCCACCCCACCGTCGTCCAGCCCCGCTTGGCCATTCTCTCTCTTCGTCCCCTTTCCCCCCTAGGCCCTCCTTCCCCTACCTCCCGTTTGTTTGCCGTGTTGCCGCAGAGAATCCTGCTCCTTGATTTTGCGCCTGATTTGTTTGCCGTTCATTCTGTACAGGCTGCCGCGCAAAATCTGGCAGTGGCAGCATCAAGCCACTTACTTCCACTCCCCTCCGCCCCCCCTTCACTTTTGTTCGCTTCTCTGCAGTACTCTCACCACGGATTTTGCCGCGGAGGATCTAAGAAAGGATCGATGCTAAGGAAGATTGCAATTGTCCGAGTCTAGGGTAGGGGAGCTGTACTGCACAGTATTCTCAGGACCTCATGCCAGCAGTGCAATGCCGACAAATCTTGCCTCGCTCTTAGTTTCTGACGAAAGCTGAGAACTCCGTTGATTGCGGGCTAGTGGCTGATTCCGATGCATCGCATCGCAACACCAGCTGCATGTCCTTCCCCGCTCCAGTGCAGTACAAAAGCTCACGCCTCCTTCCATATCTAAGCAGCAGCTCCGACTTCTCTCGTTGTGATCGAGTCACAAGTTTTTTACGCTCCGTATTCTCCCATCGAGTGTCAGGCAGCAGTGCTAACCCCAGCCTTTCTCAATATCAAGCCCTTTCACAAACAGTGTTGAGTTCTGGACCCGAGATCTCTCTCACTTATGGCTTCAATCCCGACTTACGGCTGGAGCTCCATCGGCGAATCGCTCGACCCCGTCGCAGTCATGCTCCCAGACGGCTCCGTGCGCCTTTACGATTCCGAGACCGACCGCGTTACAGCACGCAGAGTCCTCGCCGAGTTTCCCGGCCATGATCTCTTCGCGGCGTCCCCGTCGAGCGGATTCGAGCCGTTGTCGCCGAAGCGCGTGCTCAAGCCAGGCGAAACTTACCAGATTGTTTCGAGTAATTGCGTACACCTGCCGCGGATGCAGCTCTCTTCGGATTGCTTTCCATCTTCCGCAAGCCATTTTCCAATGGATCTAGACGCAATCTGCTCTGAGATGCGCGATTACGACATCAGGCACGTCGAGCAAGGCGTGTGCGATTTTGGACCGTCGATTTCCGCCATGTCCGGCGTTGACACGCCTACTGAAAGCGGCGGTGTTCAGGACACGGATGTCTCCACATTCGCAACTGAACTAAGGAACATCAGCAGCAATCCAAGAATTAACTCTGCTGGCAGCAGTGCGTCCCTTTGTTCAAGCTCAGGTAGCAGCTTTGCTAGCAGCCACGGTAGCATTGCTGATCAGCGTTGTGGAAAAGGCTTTGGGTTCAGAAGATCTTCAAAAGCGTTTTCTAGGGATTGTTTGAAAGCTGCTCAATTGCAACAGCTGACAGGGACGGAGCGAGTCTGCTGATGGTTCTGCATTAATGTAACTATGCTATTTCGTTAATCATATTTTAACAATTATCAAATCTCCAACACCAAGGGAAACTGATTGACATTGCGATTTACAGCTGAAATGCATGTACCGTTTGTGCTCCGATTGTGTATCGATTATACATGTTATCAGACATGCTAGATTAACGGGTATAGATCTTATCCATGTGTGACACGAATGCACTCCGCCCTAAATTCTTCAGGTGCCACGTCGTCATGTCGAGAAAAGCTGCGAAAACTTCGTTCGTAACTGCCTTGACTGTCACGAGTTTCGTCGGCACTAGGTTGACTAATCATGCGATAACACGCACGCCTTGAACCAGGTCGCCTCTTCGCCTTCCCCAACTTGCGAGCTTCTGTTCCTGGGTGCTTGTGAGCTTGCAGCCTCGCTGCATGCTGCCCATATCGCTCCCTGGTTACCCGTCGTCTCTGTCTAGTCTTCCTTTTCTATTTACACCCACCAGCAGTTTTGTTCCTCTCGCTCAGTTTCATCTCTCAAAGGCAGAAAGACCGCGAAGCTACTGTTAGGACAGCATTGAACACGCTTGGCAGGAAGGAATGCGTTCACCACCCCCATGATCCCATTCCGCCGAATGTCCTCGCTGGTTGGTCTTCTTTACGCCGAATGTCCTCGCTGGTTGGTCAGAACCAGAGCCTCGGCTGTGGGCTAGGGCAAAATTGCTTCAGCCATTTTATGCTAACGAACCCTCCTCCTGTCCGTCTCTTCTACAGTCGTGTCTTGCTCCAGCCATTTAGAGAATCTAGCATTTTCCCGACGTTCTTGTCACGTCTGTGTGTATCTATCACTGGTGACTGCACGACCTAGCAATCAGTGGTCCACTGTACACGAGCAAATCGCCGCTGCTTTCTGCTGCTCTCCGCTTCCGACATGTGGGCTCAGTGTTCCTCTCTCCCGTAAGCTTGTCTCTTCTGCTTGAGTTGGGCATTTCTCCGCTTCGTGAGTCATCTCTTGACATCCATCGCCGCCTCACACCACTGAGGCCACCGCGCCGCATTAGATTTTTTCTCAACGAAATTTCTCTCGAAAGATCGAACAAGTGCCAAGTGAATCAGTTGGTAAACTCACGCTAATCAGTGCATCCGCTGAAGGCTGGATCCGTTCCGCGTTTCAAACAGCCCACGTTGCCACTGACACACGGGTGCAATCCGAACCCGATTGGAGAGCATCGACGAACACAACCAATGGAGTCAGGAGCATTCGATACAGGCATCTTCCATCGCGCCCCCCGCACCCCAAATGTCGCAAGGCGAAACGAAGCCATCTGCCAGAAGTTCTTCCTTGGGGGAAGAGTTAGAGCAGAGTTATACAACGAGATTGAAGAGTCTGTTTCAGCATTTAAACCCGAGTCGAAGTTCTTGCCATGAACCAACGAACATACCGCTACCACTTGTTGCGCTAACAACCATTAATATGACTCAAAGACACAGTGACGCCTGCAGCTCGTTCCCGTGGAAATGCTCGTCAAGCTGGTCTCCAAATATTCCAGACTCAGGATTTGAAGAGATTGGAATTTCGAACGGCTGTATCCCGGATTCCAGCACACCCATTATGGTCGTCCTGCCTGACGGCACTCTCCGTTACCACACTCACACGGGCTCACCAATCACAGCACGCCAAGTGCTCACTGACTACGCTAATCATGACCTTGTGACTTTCTATTCAGCGACAGGATTCAAGAAGCTTCCTTCCAAGAAAAAACTCATTCCGGGATCAACTTACCACGTATGGCCAAAGCGCAGAGGGCAAGATGGGGCAGCTCAAGCATTGCAACCAGCAGCTCGTCCATTGTTGTCCCAAGCACCAGGCGTGGGACATGAGACTCAACATGAGGAGCGGAGATTGTGTTCAGTTTGTATGCCCTCGAAGACAGCCAATTGCTGTAGGTCCGTGCCATGAGGTGCCATGCCGTTGGGTGCCAGGTATAGCTTACTGAGGGTGTAAAGAGCGTGTATATGATTTTGAATTGGTTCCGGCAGGACCATTGTGGGATTCATTACCATGACTACTTTATGCCTTTGGGGTATGCAGAAGCATCATTGCATTATGGCACAAGAAGTTGAGGGCACCTCACTTCTTGGTGCATCAGGGTGGTAAGTTGTAGGGGATATAAATGACATGACTGAATGGGCACATATTAATGTAACATAATATATTATATGTGTGTGTGCAGACATGTAGAAACGGTATTATTTTCATTTCTTAAAAGTATCATGAAAAAGTAGGAAATCTCGCTGAGTAGAATACCAGCATTGAAGTCCGACGCTTGAACATGTAACGAGGTGGCTTGTAAGCCGGTCAAAAGCCGGAAATGTCTCGGGCCGCAGACACTAGTCTCTCTATTCTTGGCTTTGTCATGCCAGGCTGGCTATTATTACCCCTCTCGGCTCTCGCCAGCTTCCCCTGGGTGATTACACCGGAGCAGGTGAAGGCTGCGAGCAGCAATTAGTAATAAGTTCAAGGTTACTAGCAGCAATTAGTATAAAGCTCCGTGGTCGACCTTGTTCCATCCGATCGTTTTTTAGGAAGCTTTCAAATAGTCTTGTTCTCCTCCTCCGTTCATTCATTCTTGCTTTTTTACATTACGTCGCGCGCTTCGCGGCGGGATTGCTGCGGCTGTGCTCCGTCGCGAGGATGTGGGCTGCTGTTGGCGGTGCGACCAAGACGCGAGCGAGTAGCAAGTCCAAGGAGTCGGCACCGCCAGGATACGCGAGACACGCGAGCCATGCGGGGAGCTGGTACACCGATGACGGTGAGCTTACTGGTAGAGGATATGCTTGTACGGAGTCTAGAGGACGAAAGAGTGTACGGAAGCCGGTTATTAGAAACCATGCTGCACGCTTGTTTAATTATGACGCGATAAGCTGTTTTGTTCGCGAAACCGGATATTATCTCTGCGGGGAACGTGATTACAGCGAGTTAATTGACCGAGTGTGACTGTAGCGGCCGTGGAAATTAGTTGAATCTGGATGTGAATTGCCTCTCAGTTTCGAACATGATCAGCCGTCGCCTCCCGTTGGTTGAATGCGTTGTGAATTACACCTGATGCCTATTTCAGTCCTCTTCCCCATCTTTCCCTGTGCTCCTCTCTCGAGCACGCGAAAGCTACGGGCAAAATGGGATTGAATGAAGAACACTCTACTACAGTAGCCAAAATTGTGGGTAGCCCAACGTGTTTTGTCTGGAACTTATTCGAGGTCAAGAAAATCTTGGTTTTGTCGTGGGCTAGTAACGTTCGGGCCGTTGGCTGTGAATGTCGACCACTGGGCGTATGGAGTGGCACCGGGCGTGTTCAGAGTGGGCGGTTGAGTGAGCATTTGGGTGTAATCGATGTATTGTTCTGATTTGATGTGATGTGATGCGATGCGATGCGATATGATGTGACGTGCTGTGATACTATGTGATGCGGTGTGATGCGGTGCGATGTGCTGTGATGTGATGCGGTGTGCTGTGGTGTGATGCGGTGTGATGCGGTGTGATGTTGTGTGACTACAGCGGAGGAGCTGGGCGAGGAGATGGAGGCGTGGCTGGCGGCCTCGGGAGTGTCGCCTGACGCCACCGTGCGCGCCGTGATTGCACCGTGAGTCACCCGGGGGCGGAAGGGGGAAAAGGGTGGGAGGGGGAGAGGGGGGATGGATAAGGGGGGGAGGGAGGGAGGTGCAGGGGGGGAGGGGGAAGGGGACGTATGGGGAGTGGCCATGTGAAGCGGGATGGCATGTGAGACGGATGGCATGTAAATCCACACACACCAAACCCGCTTTCACCCTCGCTCTCCTCTTTCCCCGCCCTGCCCAACCTCCCTCTCCCATCCGGACCACCCCCCTCGTCGTTGTCGCTTGCTCTGCTGTCTCAGTCTAAGAGTTTCGAGTTGACTCAAAGGGTTCTGTGTTATTTACTTCTGAATCACCCCGTCGTGGCCTTTGCGAGTGTTGACTGGGAAGAAAAAGGCATTTGTATCCCTTTCCTTGTTGCTTGAAAAATGCATTCTTCCTTGCTTAAGATTCTGATTATGTGTCTGCACTGCACAATTCCTGATGCCCATGTCTCTCCAGCCATGCAGGCTTTCGTTACTCAGGCCGATGTGCGGCCTATGCCTTCGCGCACATGCATGCACCATCCATGTGAGTATGCCATTCCAAATATTCGCCTGTTTTTGGCTGCTGGTTCATATTCTGAACTTGCCTTTTCTACCCTCGCTCCCTCTCCTTCTCTCACCTCCCGTTCCCCCCCACCCCCCCCTCGATCCTTTTCTTCTTTTAACCCGTCAATGCCCTCCCTCTGTCTCGCCCCCCCGTCTCTTCTTCTCATGGTCCGTCCCACCACCATACATGACACTTTTGAAATGATCGCATAAGTCTCTCCCTCCTCATCTCTCTTTCATCCCCATCAGCCGTTGCGTCTTCCCCTGCTAGGTCCATCCCACCACCACTACACGGTTTATTCAAACCTTTTTATCACTCCCCTTACGCTCCTTCCCTTTCATCCCCATCAGTCGTCGCATCTTCCTGCTGGGCCCATCTCACCACCACTACACACGCAAGTGTGTGCTGCCTCGATCCACCTCCTTCCACACACCTCTCGGCGCCCTACCTATTGACATGCAAGGTATTGCCATTGTTTTACCCGTTAATTACCCATTGTGTGACCCTTGTTTACCCCCTTATTTGCACATTATGTGACCCCTTTTTACCCTTTTTCCCTCATTATGTGTGTTTTTGTCTGGATTACCCATTATCTACCCATCATGCGCCTACTCCCTCTCAGTGGTGGAGGAGCTTAAGGAGATGGGGCGGCATGATTAGAGTCTTCTCAGGGCGTATTCCATGTTCGTGGCAGGGCAACTGTTCATCGCACTGTTGGTGGCATGCGCATTTTCCGGCCCACTGAGTTTTTGGGAACAGTTGCCACCAACTCGACGCGAACATTTGCCCTGCCACGAACGTGGAATACGCCCTCAAACACACCACTTTCTTATCCGCCCCGTATCCACCCATCTGGCACCAAACCATCTTGCTCCTATTCTTTGACAGTGGTGGCGGAGCTGAAGGCGACGGGCGAGTTTGAGGAGATGGGGCGGCATGTGGACGAGGCAGAGCGTTTTGAGTCGACTCAACGCACTCCCCTTCCTGTCGTCTCCCCCCATCTCCCCCTCCCTTCTCCGCCCTGTATGCACCTGTTCCCTCTCAGTGGTGGAGGAACTGAAGGCGACGGGCGAGTTTGAGGAGATGGGGCGGCATGTGGACGAGGCAGAGCACTCCCTTGAGATGCACGCTCCCTTCCTCGCCCACATGTGCAAAGAGTGAGTCAGTCAACGCCAGTCAACGCTGGTCGATGCGAGTCAATGCGAGTGACTTGAGGCAACTCAAGTCAACCTGAGGGATTTCAAGGCAAAGGCGGTTACTAATACGTCACGCATATCTCTGTGGATAAGGGCGTGCAGCACGCCCTAAGAGAAGCATGTCCCTGATGAGAGAGTGTCGTTGCATCGTTCTCATGACCCCACCTCTTGTCCCTTTATCCAACCCCTCTCAACCCCTCTACACCCCTCGTCACAGTCACAATGTGTCGCTGGTGCCAATAATGGTGGGATCGCTGGATGCAGCAGCAGAGGCCCGATACGGCAGCATTTTGTCCCGGTGAGTCCAGGCATGCTTGCTGCTGATGCTGCAGCAGCCGCCACAGCACTTGTAGCTGCGGACGCCATGCCATGGTAGTAGTGCCTCCTCGACACCTCAAAGCTCTTCCGCACAGCTCTTCAACTTTCCCCCCCTCCTTATCCCTCCCCTGCTGTGCACCACCCTCCCAACCCCCGCAGATACTTCTCAGATTCTTCCAACTTCTTCTCGATCTCGTCTGACTTCTGCCACTGGGGCTCCAGGTGCGACTACAGTATGGTTCTGTGCGGTTCCATGCAGTTCTGCATGGTTTTGTGCGGTGTGTAGGTTTGCAGTGCTGCATAAGGTTCTCTTCGTGTTGTAACGTGGTGTGCAGGTGGCATGGACTGATACACAAGCCACCACAATTTCCTAAACTCTCCCTCCCGTCCCACCTATCCGCTCTGCCAGTTGACTAAAGGTCTATTGTAGTCCTCCCTCTTTCCCCTTTCCCGCTTTCCTCCTTTACCCGTTTTCCACAATTCACCCCTCCTTCCCCATGCACCCCTCTTCAGGTTTCGATTTACACCTTATGACAAGGCACACGGCCCCATCCACAGGGCGATTGAGGCCATGGACCGCGAAAGCACTACCTTTTACTGTTGGGTCGACTCAAAAGTCCTCATCTATCCCCCTCCCACCCCACCCTCGTTCTCCCCCCCCCACATCTTCAGGTTCCGCTTCACGCCATACGACAAGGCGCATGGCCCCATTCACAAGGCCATAGAGGCCATGGACCGCGAGGGCATGGCGTGTGTGCATCGACTGTCACACTGACTCACATTCTGCTCCCCCGTCCCCCACCTCCCCCAATAGGTTCCGCTTCACGCCATACGACAAGGCGCACGGCCCCATCCACAAGGCCATAGAGGCCATGGACCGCGAGGGCATGGCGGCCATTGAGGGGGGAGGGGCCAAGGCGTTTCGTGACTATATCGAGCGCACGGGGAACACTGTGTGTGGGAGGCACCCCATTGGTGTGCTGCTGCAGGTGTGGAGGGAGAGGGGTTGGATGGGGTGGAAGGTTGCTGGGCTGGATGGAAGGGTGGAAGGAGGTGGATTGGGCTGGGTCGACGGATGTTGGGCTGGGTCGAGGGGTGTTGGGCTGGGTCGAGGGGTGTTCTGTGATAAGGGCTGGGTGGCAAGGATTTGGGCTGTCGTGGAGCGATTGGGTTGTTCATAGCAAGAGGGATTGAAGGTTGGATGGGGAGTGAGGAGGGGAGTGGGGGCGAGAGGAGGGGAGGACGTGGCACCAGTGCATTAGAGAGCCTGCTTTACAGTCCAACACCATATGACTCCTCATATGACCCTTACTCCACTCTTTTCCCCTCCTCCAAATTCCCAGTCTCCCGGTGTTTTCCCCTTCCACTACTCATTCTCCCTTCTCCGCACCACACTCCCCCCTCCGCTCCCCTTCACCCCCACAGATGGCGGAGCTATGTCCCTCGCCCCCATCCATCCGCTTTGTGCAGTACGAGCAGTCCAGCCACTGCCACTCCATGCGCGACTCTAGCGTCAGCTACGCCTCGGCTGTGCTCACACTCACCCCGCCCTCCACCTAGGGGACTTGCAGCATTTCTTGTATCGCATCACCCAGTCCAGCCACTGCCACTCCATGCGCGACCCTAGTGTCAGCTATGCCTCTGCCGTGCTCACACTCCCCCCCGCCTCCACCTAAGGGGTTGTTGTTCTGAGCGTCCGCCACCATCCCTCACATGGCACCATCCAGTCTAGAAGGAGGCTGCAGCATCGCTCTTATCGCACTACCCAGTCCAGCCACTGCCACTCCATGCGCTACCTAGTGTCAGCTACAGCTCCGCAGTGCTCACACTCGCACTTAACAATCCCTCCACCACCCCACCTGGTGGGTTGCTCTAGGCCTCTCAGCAGCATCGCTCACATCACATCACACCACCCAGCCCAGCCACTTGCGTGCACGGGCCCTGCCCTGGCCTTGTCTTGCTCATACCCCCCCTCCGCCTGCCACTCAGTGCAATCACCCTTCACGTACCTGCTGGAAGTCACATTTGCTCTCGCCTTCTGGGCCTCTGTATAGTCACATCATGGATTGCAGTGTCAGTGATGCCTCTGCTGTGGCTGCTGTGCAACTCCCTGTGTAGTCATCATGGCCCCAATGACCACTACTGTGCAGTTATATTTTGTCATCCCATGTATAGTCTCTGAAACTACGATCAGCTCGGCTGATTCAGGTCCTGCAATATTGAAATTTGCCAGTAATGTTTCACAGTATTGGTAGTGCAAAAGAGCAGCAGCAACGCCTTCAACTGTATGCAGGATTTCAAATGAACAAATTTAATGTTATATGTGATCACCTCACTCAAAGATTAGTTTTCACACGAACACCAGACAAAAACAAGCACGAAAATTTGTCAATGCCTAGAGAGGAAGGCCGCGAAGCCCCAAAACGCATTCACCCACCCCCAAACGGTGCACATTTGCCACCCGAAACCCAAAACCCTGGCGAACTGTTACTGCGGAGGAAAAGTGTCCGCACGAAATCCAGGTTTTCGTTAGCCAACACTTTCGCGCTGGCAAGCCTGGTTCAAAACAAAAACTTCTGAACCCCCACTTGTCAATTCTAGACCCTCGTTTTAACTAGACAAAGGCAGGACAAAGGAGACGAAGTTAGGGTTTCAGTCAGCATGACACTCTAGAAGATTGCTGCGCGATGCGCGATGGGCCCAGACAGGAATCTCTGGTTTATCGGCGGCATAATGTACTCGTTACAGTCCACCTCGTTACTCCTCACATGTCTGCGGTCATGGACAAAATCCTCTCCTGGTCTCTGCATCATCGCAGGGCTCTGTTGCCGCGAGGAACCCTGCGACGCGTAGCCTCGTCGCACGTTACACTCGGCGACGGGTTGCGATTCGCAGGAGCAGCAGCTACTCATGCCGTTGCAACTCCGGCAGATTTTCGAAGAGAACTGAGCACCAAAATCAGGTGAAGGCGACACGGTGCGTTGAAACTGACGAGAATTCCCGCGACTCGAGTCGTCAACCCAGGTGATTTGGGAAGGAGCCTCCCACGCGACCCCGTCAAAGTTTTGCGCAAATCCCGCATGCGCACGTGCGCCGTTGATGGCGTTACGCGACTGCCGGTGTCCAATCCGCGTGTCAGTCATCATGTACAGCTTGCTGTCCAGGTCAGCCCAGTCCTGCGCTGACTCAGACTCGCAGAATCCGATCTCGGCCGTGACGTCATCGCGCTCTAAACTCGGCCCACATGAGGAATGGGTCGCGGGAAAGGCAGCCTTCTTGCCGGGGGAGGTGAGGCGCCGCAGGCTCCGCGGCTTGAAGTGCGCGAGCGTCGCGAGGACCTTCGCTTTAAGAGACGACCCTTCGGACTGAGACGACAAGGGAGGCGCGCGACTCGGAACTGATGAGGTTGCCCTCGCAGAATCCGCGCTGTAGTCGTCTTCGTCAAGGGCAGCGATCTGAAAAAAACGGAGGATAAATAAAGCAGAATCACACCGTGACGTTAGATCCGAGCGAGGAAACGGCATGGAAAAGAATTCTATAATGTAGGGTTCAAACGGGAGGCACTAAATTCACGTGACACGGGCTTACCTCGGCGAGGAAAGGATTGGCCGCTGTGGTGGACGATGGTCGCGGAGGGAGCCTGTGTTCGCGTTGGCTGGTAACACTCGACACGGACGACGTTGGCGAAGGGAAGATGGACGGCGTTCTGCTGTGACGAACCTCGCCACGATGTGGCGACAACTCGATATTATGCTTCGTCGCGTAATCCGCTTGAGGACGACCGCTGCCATTCAGGTTACGACTCCCGCTGTAAGTCTTGGATTTGTATAACGCGGGCTGATCACTATCGTCTTCCTCGAACTCGTTCTCATCCTCTCCGCCTCGGCCCGAACCAAAGCTGTTGTGTCGGCCCGAACCAAAGCTGTTGTGTCGGCCCGAGCCGAAGCATTCACGTGTGACGAAGCTGAAATCGATGCTCTCCTCGCTGCGCGCGCTGGAGCAACCCGGCGACGACGCCCGCGTCGGTATTTCCAGCGTGGCCACGGCGCCGCCATGAGTATCGCGATGATGAAACGACTCATTCGAATCTCGCTGAAACGGGCCGTCTCGCATGAGTGGAATCTGACCGTCGCTTGCGGCGCCGTGGGGGCTTCGAGGGGGGAGATGAGGCGACACGCCGCGAGAGCGGGACGCATGGGAACCGTCTCTCGAAGGGGGCGTCAATGGCGGGCGCGCCGCGGATGGTGCACGCTTCGGCGTGAGGAAATAGGTCTCTCCTGGCACGAGCGGGGTGTTGGGTGCGACGAGCGCTTCGAGCGATGAGAGGTTCACGTGAGGATACTCGGAGAGTACGGTCTGGGCTGTTAGTTGCTCACTAGAGTCTGCCGGCTTGTCCAAGAGACGGATGGATCCGTCAAGGAGCATGACGATGACGGACTCCTGCTCGACGGAGTTCGTCAGGCTGACTCGTGGCTTGCTGGAAAATCGCGCAGCCATGGCTCCGATTGTGGTCATGACTAGGTGCGGTGGAGCTTCGATTTCAGAAGTTTATACTTGAGGTGCCAATGCGGTGTTGCCAGTGTGGCACTAATTCTAGGTGACTTCTGGCTCTTGAGAGAAGTTATAAATCCTGCTGTGAAAGGAGAAGAGTGAGAGGGAAAGGAGTTAAAAGGGTATTGTACGATCATGACTTCATTTCGCTGGACTGTTGCTCCAGCGACCGCGAAAACCGCGTGACAGGCTGGAAACACGGAGGGCGCAAGGATGAATTCGATCTGCTAAAACTGACTGGTCCCTTCCCACTTCTGACCAACCGCACCTGCTCCAGACCAGACAACAGCAGTGTATTGGGGAACAACAGCAAGCCAAAACGGAATACGCCAGGATGATCCAGCTGGTGCCTTTTGCCCATGGGCTGGCTCGGCGGGAGTGTGTTCCACCATCTGTAGCCGCAACTTCCCCTCATTTTGAAAAGCACACCGTGGTTCTCCCCTTAAAACCATGAATTGGGGGAAACGTTATGAACTCCGCATATGAACTGCGAGACACACCATCGGCTTTCCCTAAAAACCGCGAACATATACTTCAGCAGACTCCAAAAACCAAGCAAGGACTTTTCAAAAGTCGGTGATTTTGTTTGAATCCTAATCATTCCGGCGCACCGCCCGAGAATGGCTGCAGAGTCGATTTACCCCTTTTTTTGTTCTGAATCAAAGCAATATATAAGCGTACATCACATGATCCTAGTCAGAAAGAGGAAAAGGGGAAAGAGAGACATAAAGGAGAAGGGATGTGGAAGGAAAGGGAGAAGGAAAGTAAAACTGCCAAAAAATCCTAAACGCAACACCCATAAAAAGCCCCACCCCATCCCACACCCCAATTACAGTACCCCCCCCCCCCCCCCCTCCCTCCCCATTTACCCCATTTGATTGTGTCAGTCCTCGCCTAGCATGGCTCAGCAGAAATAGCGATCCTCAACCTTTCATTTCAACCTTCCATCACGACCTCTCGCTTTCTTCGCAGGCTGCAGCTTGTTGCGAGCGGGCATTCAAATCTCCTCTCAAACATTTGACAGGCTTGACAAACATTTGCAAAAAATCAGACGATTTGACAGGCTTTTCAAATCTTCTCTCGTGTCGTGCCCAATTCTATGCCAGCGAGAAGTTGCACCAAGAAATGCGACACGAGAAGGGACCAACCAAACCAGCTCGTACACCTAACCACTGCTATTTTCTTTCGGTCTATTTTCAACCCCACTTGCACAAGTGGGGTATGCACCATTTCTAAATCTTTGTCCGAGGGTTGTGTGGGGCATCATTAAATTTTTGCGAGAGTCTGTTCCAGATCCCCGAAGGGAGTACTGTAGAAGTGGCGCTATGGATTCAGATTCGCATAATGAGTTTAAACTTCGAGCATTAGGCGTCATTCATAGCCCCAGTCATCTAAGTGTCGAACTGAAATAGTCGAAAACGTGCAGGGTAACTTTGAAACGCGAGATTAGTGGACTGGGTTTCCCCTTGAAAATTGCGGTGGTTAGGTGTAATTTGAACATTCTTCTCTGTGCTGGTCGTAATTTGCGTATAGCGACAACCCAGACTACCATACACATGGATCCCTCCCAATCGGAGGACATCACCCACACAACATGTTGCTCTGCGCCTCGGCTAGCATCGGATCGAATTGTTTCTGGAACCCTACAAAAGTTGACAGAGGGATGAATGTTCTGCTGTATGCTTGGCAGAGTGCACAGTCTATGCTGTAGACCGTATGTACTGTACCGAATGCGCCAACATCCAATGCCCACCGCTCCGTACAAACCGGAAATGATGCAGATTCTGGCCCGTAAATACGACAGAATGGTCCAATGGTCGGTGAGCTGACTGACAGGATGGCCCCTATGGCCCCTGTGGTTTTGAAGCATGCCATGCCACCTTACACGCTATTGTGCTTTTTGCATTTTTGGAAGGATGGAATACACCATAACATGCATCATATCCATAGACGTAACTGAGTACTACACCACAGCTAGTGTGCATTGTGTTGAGAGAGATCTACGTGTGCGAGAGGCGGTGATGAGATCATAAAACACTACACACCACAGCGAGTGGCCGCAGCTCTTTTATTTACAGTGTAGCTCTTCTCAAACTTCGGTATAACATCGTACCAATCCCGAATCAGTGTAAATTTGTACAATCAAACCAGCGATTGTGCTGTTGGGAACCAACCGGGACCTTAACACTTTGACGAAGCTCATGTCAGCACGTGGCAATCATCCGTCCTATGTTCTCCCCAATCCTCTGCTTGGCTTTCTCGCACACAGGCGGGTGGCCAATGTACAAATCAAAGAAGGCTCCTGGTCAACGTGTACAGAACGGAAACGGAGTTGAATAAAGGACAGTAAATGAGTAGCTGAAAACTAATAAAGAAACATAAAAAAGATTGCTGGCAAGATATAAGGGTACGCCCGCAGGTTATAGAAAGTCAACAAGCAAGCATTACCATGTTTGGACAACTCAGCAAGCAGCGGCAGGAGTCAATCTGCACAGTGTAGGGGGTGAACGAGACTCACTGCATAGAGGAGCGCTAACTATTGGGTCCATGCGCCTGCCGTCAACTGGAGGGGAAATGGGGTTGGGTAAGGGAGAGGCAAGAGAGGAGGGGGGAGGAAGGGAGAGGGCTGGGACGAGTTAAGTGGGCTCACTACATAGAGGAGTGCAGACAATGGGATCCATGCACCTGCCGTCGACTGGAGGGGAAGGAGGGTGAGGAAGGGAGAGACGAGAGATGGAGAGGGGGGGGCGGGAGAGGACATAAGTGAGTAAAGCGGGTTGATAGCAGAGAGGAGCACTGACAATGGGATCCACACCCACCCACCCACCCACCCACCCGCCCCCCCCCCTCCAACTCCCCTCCCAGACACACCCCCCCCTCTCCTCTCCCCCCCCCCCCCCCTCACACACACTCCATCCCAAGTGATTTCAGCGCACTCACTCTCAGTGAGAAGTGTTCCTCCGGGCTGCCAGGTGAAGTCAATGGTGGTGCCCTGAGGTCAATGGGTGACAAGAGACAGTGGAGGATTACACAGGGGTGCAAAGTGGTGAGCAGTCCTCCGGGCTGCCAGGTGAAGTCGATGGTGGTGCTCTGAGGTCAATGGGCGATTGGGGAATGTTTTTCTAGGCAAAGGGGAGGAAAGCACAGAGGCGATGGGGGAATAATTTTTTAGGCGCGTCAAGGGCTCTCACACTAAGTGAGGAAGTGAGTTCTATGGCAAAGGAGGGTTACACAGGAGGGAGAGGAAGTGAGTTCTATGGCATTTCAGAAGTCGATGGTGGTGCTCTGAGGTCAATGGTGAGGACGACAGAGGAGGGTTGCACCGAGAGAAGAGAGCAGAGAGCAGAGAGCAGAGAGCAGGGAGCAGGGAGCAGGGAGCAGGGAGCAGGGAGCCAAGAGCACTGACCCGCTTGACTTGGTGCGGCTGAGAGAGGTACTCGTTGAGAGTGTGGAAGCCCGGGTCGTCTGCGTGGCCCAGTAGCTGAGAGGGAGTACATGACAGAGGGGGAGACGTGGGCATGGGTAGGAAAGAGGCTGAGGGGTCAGAGGGGGAGAAAAGGGCCTTCCATTCTGTGTAGCTGAGAGCTACGAGTGCTGGGAGTGCTGTTGGTGAGCATTTTAAACTGGTGCGCTGTAAGGGACAAGTGCAGGAGCCACTACACGAGGAGGGCCAAATCCTTTCCTATGGGCAGGGTGTTTTAAATTCTATCCTATAAAACCCTTGTTACAAGAGGCCAGAGATGGGAGCAAAGCCAGCGAGATAATTGACCTCACTAAGGTCAAAGCACACCTTAGTGAGGCGATTGGAGAGGGATGTGTTGAGCGCACTGGGTGGGAGGGAGCAGAGCAGAACATGTGGGGGCGGGTCGAGAGGAGTTTTGCGACGTCTCAACACACTTCTTTTATCTAGTGGGACGATTGGAGAGGGATGTGTTGAGCGCACTGGAAGCAGAGCAGAACATGTGGGGGCGGGTTGAGAGGAGTGGAGAGAAGAGAGGAAACTGGGGGTGAGGACGAGATAACAAACTAGATGGTTGCTTTGCGAGCATGCGTGCGCAGGAAGCAGTCTGAATGGCAGCAACGAGCTCAAAAGAACAGGAGAGCATGCCATCAACTTGCCTTGACTCGTATTGAATATCGTTGACCCAGGGCAGTTGATGTGTTGAATCTCATCTTGCGCTATTGAGCCCTCTGTTGTGCAGCACCAGGTGCATCTCCATAGTTCTAACTTCTAACCGAGTGTTTGTCTGACTCGCATTGACTGCCATTGACTCTGGTTGACTCGTTGCACTCACTTGCGCACCATCTTCACGTTGAGCCCTCTTTGCTCTGCCTGGCATAGACTTGCATTGACTCACATTGACTCGAAATTATTAGCATTGCCTCTGGTTGACCCAGCACACTCACTTGCGCACCATCTTCATGTTGAGCCCTCTGTAATGCAGCACCAGCCGCACTGTCATTCCAATATCACGACTGACAAGGCGACCAAGGGAGAGGTGGGGCAAAGGGGGAGCGGGGCGAGGGAGGGGCAGAACGAGGGGCGGAACAAGGAAGGGGCGGATCAAGGGAGGGGCGGAACAAGGGAGGGGTGGAACAAGGGAGGAGCGGAACAAGGGAGGGGTGGAACAAGGGAGGGGCGGAACAAGGGAGGGGTGGAACAAGGGAGGGGAGGAACAAGGGAGGGGAGGAACAAGGGAGGGGTGGAACAAGGGAGGGGAGGAACAAGGGAGGGGTGGAACAAGGGAGGGGTGGAACAAGGGAGGGGCGGAACAAGGGAGGGGCGGAACAAGGGAGGGGCGGAACAAGGGAGGGGCGGAACAAGGGAGGGGCGGAACAAGGGAGGGGCGGAACAAGGGAGGGGCGGAACAAGGGAGGGGCGGAACAAGGGAGGGGCGGAACAAGGGAGGGGCGGAACAAGGGAGGGGTGGAACAAGGGAGGGGCGGAACAAGGGAGGGGCGGAACAAGGGAGGGGCGGAACAAGGGAGGGGCGGAACAAGGGAGGGGCGGAACAAGGGAGGGGAGGAACAAGGGAGGGGCGGAACAAGGGAGGGGAGGAACAAGGGAGGGGCGGAACAAGGGAGGGGAGGAACAAGGGAGGGGCGGAACAAGGGAGGGGAGGAACAAGGGAGGGGCGGAACAAGGGAGGGGAGGAACAAGGGAGGGGCGGAACAAGGGAGGGGCGGAACAAGGGAGGGGCGGAACAAGGGAGGGGTGGAACAAGGGAGGGGCGGAACAAGGGAGGGGCGGAACAAGGGAGGGGTGGAACAAGGGAGGGGCGGAACAAGGGAGGGGCGGAACAAGGGAGGGGCGGAACAAGGGAGGGGCGGAACAAGGGAGGGGTGGAACAAGGGAGGGGTGGAACAAGGGAGGGGTGGAACAAGGGAGGGGCGGAACAAGGGAGGGGCGGAACAAGGGAGGGGCGGAACAAGGGAGGGGTGGAACAAGGGAGGGGCGGAACAAGGGAGGGGCGGAACAAGGGAGGGGCGGAACAAGGGAGGGGCGGAACAAGGGAGGGGCGGAACAAGGGAGGGGAGGAACAAGGGAGGGGCGGAACAAGGGAGGGGAGGAACAAGGGAGGGGCGGAACAAGGGAGGGGAGGAACAAGGGAGGGGCGGAACAAGGGAGGGGAGGAACAAGGGAGGGGCGGAACAAGGGAGGGGAGGAACAAGGGAGGGGCGGAACAAGGGAGGGGCGGAACAAGGGAGGGGCGGAACAAGGGAGGGGCGGAACAAGGGAGGGGTGGAACAAGGGAGAGGTGGAACAAGGGAGGGGTGGAACAAGGGAGGGGCGGAACAAGGGAGGGGCGGAACAAGGGAGGGGCGGAACAAGGGAGGGGTGGAACAAGGGAGGGGTGGAACAAGGGAGGGGTGGAACAAGGGAGGGGTGGAACAAGGGAGGGGTGGAACAAGGGAGGGGTGGAACAAGGGAGGGGTGGAACAAGGGAGGGGTGGAACAAGGGAGGGGTGGAACAAGGGAGGGGTGGAACAAGGGAGGGGTGGAACAAGGGAGGGGTGGAACAAGGGAGGGGTGGAACAAGGGAGGGGTGGAACAAGGGAGGGGTGGAACAAGGGAGGGGTGGAACAAGGGAGGGGAGGAACAAGGGAGGGGCGGAACAAGGGAGGGGCGGAACAAGGGAGGGGCGGAACAAGGGAGGGGCGGAACAAGGGAGGGGAGGAACAAGGGAGGGGCGGAACAAGGGAGGGGAGGAACAAGGGAGGGGCGGAACAAGGGAGGGGAGGAACAAGGGAGGGGCGGAACAAGGGAGGGGAGGAACAAGGGAGGGGCGGAACAAGGGAGGGGAGGAACAAGGGAGGGGCGGAACAAGGGAGGGGCGGAACAAGGGAGGGGCGGAACAAGGGAGGGGCGGAACAAGGGAGGGGTGGAACAAGGGAGGGGTGGAACAAGGGAGGGGTGGAACAAGGGAGGGGTGGAACAAGGGAGGGGTGGAACAAGGGAGGGGTGGAACAAGGGAGGGGTGGAACAAGGGAGGGGTGGAACAAGGGAGGGGTGGAACAAGGGAGGGGTGGAACAAGGGAGGGGTGGAACAAGGGAGGGGTGGAAAAAGGGAGGGGTGGAACAAGGGAGGGGTGGAACAAGGGAGGGGTGGAACAAGGGAGGGGTGGAACAAGGGAGGGGTGGAACAAGGGAGGGGTGGAACAAGGGAGGGGTGGAACAAGGGAGGGGTGGAACAAGGGAGGGGTGGAACAAGGGAGGGGTGGAACAAGGGAGGGGTGGAACAAGGGAGGGGTGGAACAAGGGAGGGGTGGAACAAGGGAGGGGTGGAACAAGGGAGGGGTGGAACAAGGGAGGGGTGGAACAAGGGAGGGGTGGAACAAGGGAGGGGTGGAACAAGGGAGGGGTGGAACAAGGGAGGGGTGGAACAAGGGAGGGGTGGAACAAGGGAGGGGTGGAACAAGGGAGGGGTGGAACAAGGGAGGGGTGGAACAAGGGAGGGGTGGAACAAGGGAGGGGTGGAACAAGGGAGGGGTGGAACAAGGGAGGGGTGGAACAAGGGAGGGGTGGAACAAGGGAGGGGTGGAACAAGGGAGGGGTGGAACAAGGGAGGGGTGGAACAAGGGAGGGGTGGAACAAGGGAGGGGTGGAACAAGGGAGGGGTGGAACAAGGGAGGGGTGGAACAAGGGAGGGGTGGAACAAGGGAGGGGTGGAACAAGGGAGGGGTGGAACAAGGGAGGGGTGGAACAAGGGAGGGGTGGAACAAGGGAGGGGTGGAACAAGGGAGGGGTGGAACAAGGGAGGGGTGGAACAAGGGAGGGGTGGAACAAGGGAGGGGTGGAACAAGGGAGGGGTGGAACAAGGGAGGGGTGGAACAAGGGAGGGGTGGAACAAGGGAGGGGTGGAACAAGGGAGGGGTGGAACAAGGGAGGGGTGGAACAAGGGAGGGGTGGAACAAGGGAGGGGTGGAACAAGGGAGGGGTGGAACAAGGGAGGGGTGGAACAAGGGAGGGGTGGAACAAGGGAGGGGCTGGAACAAGGGAGGGGCGGAACAAGGGAGGGGCGGAACAAGGAGGGGTGAACAAGGGAGGGGTGGAACAAGGGAGGGGTGGAACAAGGGAGGGGTGGAACAAGGGAGGGGTGGAACAAGGGAGGGGTGGAACAAGGGAGGGGTGGAACAAGGGAGGGGTGGAACAAGGGAGGGGTGGAACAAGGGAGGGGCGGAACAAGGGAGGGGCGGAACAAGGGAGGGGTGGAACAAGGGAGGGGCGGAACAAGGGAGGGGTGGAACAAGGGAGGGGCGGAACAAGGGAGGGGCGGAACAAGGGAGGGGCGGAACAAGGGAGGGGTGGAACAAGGGAGGGGCGGAACAAGGGAGGGGCGGAACAAGGGAGGGGTGGAACAAGGGAGGGGTGGAACAAGGGAGGGGTGGAACAAGGGAGGGGTGGAACAAGGGAGGGGTGGAACAAGGGAGGGGTGGAACAAGGGAGGGGTGGAACAAGGGAGGGGTGGAACAAGGGAGGGGTGGAACAAGGGAGGGGTGGAACAAGGGAGGGGTGGAACAAGGGAGGGGTGGAACAAGGGAGGGGTGGAACAAGGGAGGGGTGGAACAAGGGAGGGGTGGAACAAGGGAGGGGCGGAACAAGGGAGGGCGGAACAAGGGAGGGGCGGAACAAGGGAGGGGTGGAACAAGGGAGGGGTGGAACAAGGGAGGGGTGGAACAAGGGAGGGGTGGAACAAGGGAGGGGTGGAACAAGGGAGGGGTGGAACAAGGGAGGGGCGGAACAAGGGAGGGGTGGAACAAGGGAGGGGTGGAACAAGGGAGGGGTGGAACAAGGGAGGGGTGGAACAAGGGAGGGGTGGAACAAGGGAGGGGTGGAACAAGGGAGGGGTGGAACAAGGGAGGGGTGGAACAAGGGAGGGGTGGAACAAGGGAGGGGTGGAACAAGGGAGGGGTGGAACAAGGGAGGGGTGGAACAAGGGAGGGGTGGAACAAGGGAGGGGTGGAACAAGGGAGGGGTGGAACAAGGGAGGGGTGGAACAAGGGAGGGGTGGAACAAGGGAGGGGTGGAACAAGGGAGGGGTGGAACAAGGGAGGGGTGGAACAAGGGAGGGGTGGAACAAGGGAGGGGTGGAACAAGGGAGGGGTGGAACAAGGGAGGGGTGGAACAAGGGAGGGGTGGAACAAGGGAGGGGTGGAACAAGGGAGGGGTGGAACAAGGGAGGGGTGGAACAAGGGAGGGGTGGAACAAGGGAGGGGCGGAACAAGGGAGGGGGCTGGAACAAGGGAGGGGTGGAACAAGGGAGGGGTGGAACAAGGGAGGGGTGGAACAAGGGAGGGGTGGAACAAGGGAGGGGTGGAACAAGGGAGGGGTGGAACAAGGGAGGGGTGGAACAAGGGAGGGGTGGAACAAGGGAGGGGTGGAACAAGGGAGGGGTGGAACAAGGGAGGGGGTGGAACAAGGGAGGGGTGGAACAAGGGAGGGGTGGAACAAGGGAGGGGTGGAACAAGGGAGGGGTGGAACAAGGGAGGGGTGGAACAAGGGAGGGGTGGAACAAGGGAGGGGTGGAACAAGGGAGGGGTGGAACAAGGGAGGGGTGGAACAAGGGAGGGGTGGAACAAGGGAGGGGTGGAACAAGGGAGGGGTGGAACAAGGGAGGGGTGGAACAAGGGAGGGGTGGAACAAGGGAGGGGTGGAACAAGGGAGGGGTGGAACAAGGGAGGGGTGGAACAAGGGAGGGGTGGAACAAGGGAGGGGTGGAACAAGGGAGGGGCGGAACAAGGGAGGGGCGGAACAAGGGAGGGCGGAACAAGGGAGGGGCGGAACAAGGGAGGGGCGGAACAAGGGAGGGGCGGAACAAGGGAGGGGCGGAACAAGGGAGGGGTGGAACAAGGGAGGGGCGGAACAAGGGAGGGGTGGAACAAGGGAGGGGAACAAGGGAGGGGCGGAACAAGGGAGGGGCGGAACAAGGGAGGGGCGGAACAAGGGAGGGGTGGAACAAGGGAGGGGCGGAACAAGGGAGGGGCGGAACAAGGGAGGGGCGGAACAAGGGAGGGGCGGAACAAGGGAGGGGCGGAACAAGGGAGGGGTGGAACAAGGGAGGGGTGGAACAAGGGAGGGGTGGAACAAGGGAGGGGTGGAACAAGGGAGGGGTGGAACAAGGGAGGGGTGGAACAAGGGAGGGGTGGAACAAGGGAGGGGTGGAACAAGGGAGGGGTGGAACAAGGGAGGGGTGGAACAAGGGAGGGGTGGAACAAGGGAGGGGTGGAACAAGGGAGGGGCGGAACAAGGGAGGGGCGGAACAAGGGAGGGGCGGAACAAGGGAGGGGTGGAACAAGGGAGGGGTGGAACAAGGGAGGGGTGGAACAAGGGAGGGGTGGAACAAGGGAGGGGTGGAACAAGGGAGGGGTGGAACAAGGGAGGGGCGGAACAAGGGAGGGGCGGAACAAGGGAGGGGTGGAACAAGGGAGGGGTGGAACAAGGGAGGGGTGGAACAAGGGAGGGGTGGAACAAGGGAGGGGTGGAACAAGGGAGGGGTGGAACAAGGGAGGGGTGGAACAAGGGAGGGGTGGAACAAGGGAGGGGTGGAACAAGGGAGGGGTGGAACAAGGGAGGGGTGGAACAAGGGAGGGGTGGAACAAGGGAGGGGTGGAACAAGGGAGGGGTGGAACAAGGGAGGGGTGGAACAAGGGAGGGGTGGAACAAGGGAGGGGTGGAACAAGGGAGGGGTGGAACAAGGGAGGGGTGGAACAAGGGAGGGGTGAACAAGGGAGGGGTGGAACAAGGGAGGGGTGGAACAAGGGAGGGGTGGAACAAGGGAGGGGTGGAACAAGGGAGGGGTGGAACAAGGGAGGGGCGGAACAAGGGAGGGGTGGAACAAGGGAGGGGTGGAACAAGGGAGGGGGTGGAACAAGGGAGGGGCTGGAACAAGGGAGGGGTGGAACAAGGGAGGGGTGGAACAAGGGAGGGGTGGAACAAGGGAGGGGTGGAACAAGGGAGGGGTGGAACAAGGGAGGGGCGGAACAAGGGAGGGGTGGAACAAGGGAGGGGTGGAACAAGGGAGGGGTGGAACAAGGGAGGGGTGGAACAAGGGAGGGGTGGAACAAGGGAGGGGTGGAACAAGGGAGGGGTGGAACAAGGGAGGGGTGGAACAAGGGAGGGGTGGAACAAGGGAGGGGTGGAACAAGGGAGGGTGGAACAAGGGAGGGGTGGAACAAGGAGGGGTGGAACAAGGGAGGGGTGGAACAAGGGAGGGGTGGAACAAGGGAGGGGTGGAACAAGGGAGGGGTGGAACAAGGGAGGGGTGGAACAAGGGAGGGGTGGAACAAGGGAGGGGTGGAACAAGGGAGGGGTGGAACAAGGGAGGGGTGGAACAAGGGAGGGGTGGAACAAGGGAGGGGTGGAACAAGGGAGGGGTGGAACAAGGGAGGGGTGGAACAAGGGAGGGTGGAACAAGGAGGGGTGGAACAAGGGAGGGGTGGAACAAGGGAGGGGTGGAACAAGGGAGGGGTGGAACAAGGGAGGGGTGGAACAAGGGAGGGGTGGAACAAGGGAGGGGTGGAACAAGGGAGGGGTGGAACAAGGGAGGGGTGGAACAAGGGAGGGGTGGAACAAGGGAGGGGTGGAACAAGGGAGGGGTGGAATGAGAGCATAGAGAGGCAATGAGGAAGGGATAAAATCGGTGGGGATGGGAATGAGAGGGAAAGGGGTGGCGAGAGGGGGAGTGGGGAACGGTAGGGAGGAGATTGGAAACAGAGGTGGGAAAGAAAACAAACGCAAACAGCATCCCAAGCGTAAGGGGCACTAGAAGAACCAGGCATAAGTCGAATTCACCTGAGCGTGTGAATCTACTGTTTTCACCTGAAAATGCGTCTGATGTTTTCACCTGAGCATGCGTCTGCTGTTTTCACCTGAGCAGGTCGTCGTAAAACTCCTGGCTGACTCGCAGCTCGTCCAGGGGCATGGCGCCATACTTGGCCTTCAGGTGCTCGTCACCGCCCAGGCTGGATGGACTCACGTCTGAGCAGACAAGACAAGGGCGGGGAGGGGGGAAAGTGGAAGCAGTGGGGGTAGCTGATGATGAGATGGGAAGGGTAGGGGTGGTGGTTCTCAGAGGGGCATGGTGCCATACTTTGCCTTCAAATGCTCGTCGCCGCCCAGGCTGGCTGGACTCACATCTGAGCAGAGAAGGAAATGGAAGGTTGGAAGGGATGGGGAGAGATGGAGGGGGATGGGGAGGGATGGGGAGTGGGGGTGGGGAAGAGGGGACAGAGGGGAATGCTCATGAGGAGAGAAGAAGAGAGAAAGGGGTAGCTCCATGTGAACAAAAGTTAACCAGTAGTAGGCTGGGAGTCTAGACGATTAAGCTAGAAAAAAAAAGGAAGGAGAACAACAAAACATAGAATGGAAGCAGACAGCATTCATGAGAAGCAAGTTCACTATTTTCCACCAGCGTGTGCAGCACATAAGACCTCCTCTAGTGACTCCTTCTACCCAATCCGCTTACAGAGGCCGAAGGCGTATATCTTGATGGATTTGATCCTCGCAATGACCGTGTCTCTGATGCCCACCCCGGCCAGCAGCTGGGGAAAGGAATTTGGATTGGGCACGGGGATGGAATTGGGGATGGGGATGGGGGATGGGGATGGGTATGGTTATGGGGATGGGGGGATGGGGATGAGGACGGGCGAAATACATAGGTCACCACTTTTCTGTTCACTCACCACCACTCCCTGCCCCTCCAGCCCCTCAGCACAACAATCAACCCCCCCACCTCCCCCCCACACACCCCCCCCCCCCCCTCTCCTGCCCCTCTTGCCCCTCAGCACCGCCCTCTTGCCCCTCAGCACCCCACTCACCCCGCCGCCCTGCCCCTCCTGCCGCAGCATGACGGGGAAGGAGTGCTTCGTCTTTGGCTCCACCACCATTCCCCTCTCCGCGCCCACACTCGCCGTCGCCACGCACGCTTGCGGCACACTGCCGGGCAGAGAGGTACAAAAGGGGGAGCGTGGCGCAGGGAGGGGAGGGGAAAGTGGAGGGAGAGAGGGGGCGGGGGAAGGGAGAGCGGAGGGGGGTGTGGAAAAAAAGGTGAGAATAAGGAGTGCTTCGTCTGTGGCTCCACCACCACGCCTCTCTCCGTGCCGACACTGGCAGTCGCCACGCACGCCTGCGGCACACTGCGAGGGAAGAGGCGCAGAGGGGCGTAGAGGGATGGGTGGGGAAAGGGGAGGGAGCGGGGGAAGGGAGGGACGGGAAGGGGGAGTGGGAGGGGAGGGGGGAGGAAAGGGGGAGGGGGAAGAGGAAGGGGAGGGGGAGGAAAGGAAAACGGAGGCGCAAAGGGAAGGAACAACAAAATTGGAGAGGTGTTTCAGGGAGAAGAAGAGGGGGAGAGGGGAGAGGGGAAGGGAGGGGGAGGGTGGGGGGGAGGGGGGTGGGAGAAGGGGGACGGAGACGCATCATGCTGCTTCATTCCTACCTGCTGGCACGACGCTGATTCAACCCACCTGCCGCCATCTGTCTCACGAGGCCGCTTCCGCCCTTCCGCCACTCGCGAAACCACCGCCTCCGCTTCGTCCTCCCCCACGCTTTGACCTAGCAGCGCGGAAACCTCCGGTGAACCGTCCCCATGCTCCCCCGCCCGCGCTCCGCTGCGCTCATCTTCCGCCGAGCACGCCCTCGCCCACCCCAGCGCCCCTAACGCCACGGCACTCAGCGACAAAAGCCCGCCGATCGCAGACTGTCGCATGGCAATCGGCAGCCGTGCGATTCCAACGGGCAGCGCACCCAATCCTGGCCCCGCTGGGCCGGCGACTGTCGGCGTGACAGCCGCAGCGGACGGCTGTAGCAGGCCTCTCGCCGGCTGTAGCCAGACGACGCGGTGGGCTATGTGCGACGCGACAAGCGGGCCTGCGGCGCGAGTCGACGCTGCTACAGCCGCAGCGACGAGCCGGCCGGTTCCGGATCCGAGCCGCTGATAGAAGCTCGCACTTGCTCCCCCAACGCTGAGTCCCAGTTGAATGCACGCGTTTCCAGATCCCGTTAGTGGAATAATTTCCATCGGCGACGTGTTACAATCGTGTGTCCCGGCGTTTAGTTCCGGCGATCCAGTGGTGTGGTCCACAGAAGCGTCGCTCAGTCTGTCGCACGCGAGGGAGTCATTTGTTTGAAAGCGGGCCGCGACGTCGCAGGCGGCGGAGAAGAGGGAGGCGACGGCAGACGTGGCAGCTGCTGCGACGGAGAGATCGCTTCCCGGAATGTCATGGCCGCCGAAGCTTTGAAATACCATTTTTGTGTTCTGATCAACAACCCGAAATGGAGTCTTCAGTTGGTTTCAAACGCTTCGGCGACAGAGAGATACACCGGCGGTGACTTGGACTGGATTGAGTTGGACGGGCCGCTACTGCCCTCGGAAGCGACCGCTCACAGATGCAGCTATAGCGAATCAGCCTCTGCACCGGATGAGGGAAAACGCTAGACCCGGAGAGGAGTGGAGAGGACTGCAAGTGTACTGTCCACCTGATATTCAAGTGCTCTTCTGGAGTGCAATGGATGGAGAAGCCTCGGGGAGATCGAGAGTAGGTCGAGGAGTTCTCAATGTGGACGAACTTGAATCCAAAATCCACACTCGGGGAGCAAGGACTGGAAGCATTTGGGTTGCACTGCAGTGGCACTGGCAGGCATCTCGCCTGACCCGAGCGGGGGTGGTGTAGGAGAATGTGGGAGGATGGGATGGGTTGAGTGGGTTGGGACAGGATGCGATGGTCTCAAGGGTGGTTCCGTAAGCGCAGTGCTACGGAGTCGTCTATCACTGCACTGCAGGATAACCATCCTCGAAATTATCGACGGTATGTGATTGGTCAACTTTCCAACAAGCTCGCTGCAACGCAACCACAAGTCGCACGAGCCAGAAGGAGTCAGGGAACTTCACATTTGCAGAATACTCTACAGAATACAAGCATGACCTCAGCCTACGTTGTGCACAAATGCACTATAAGATTGTGGGTATGTTGAGTGAAGAGTCTAGCACACTCTATCCCACTTTGCACTATCAATTCTTCTCAAGCTACTGTACACAAACAATGCATCTCCACTAACAGCCAATCATCTTGGCTTCAAAACCGACAACACTTCACATCCCTCGTCGCGACTAACCCTGAAAAGTAATCTCATACACAGGCAGCTCATGATGTGCACTTGTCATCACCACCACACTATCAGACCGCGAGGAAATCACAGTCTGCACCATGAGCAGCACGAAGAGAATCAGCTTCCACACGGGCCCTGCATGGCCTGAGCGGCTTGGGCTGACATACGACCTGCTGATGCTGGCATGGCAGCCAAACCAATGCTGGCTCGACCTCATGCCTTCCTTGAAGATCGAGTTGATGTTTTCTGGCGGGGTGCCGTGAAATGCAAGCTGCAGTGGGAGTGGCAGACCGCTTGCTCGGGTCTGTCCGTCGACCAGATTGCCTGGGTATAAAGAGAAAAGAAAAGCATGACAAAAGCAGGAGCTTATAAAAAAGAATCATCCGGAAAGAGGACCACGGCGTTAGGAAAGCATGAGGGAAAGGGGGGGAGGGGTGTGGGGGGGAAGGGGAAGGAAAGAGGGCAACTGGTGGAAAGATGGCAAGAAGCTAGGGAGAGAGAGACAAAAGTGAGAAATACGATGCCTTCAATACAAACAAATTCTTGCCACAGGCAGGTAAAGCGAACATGACACTTACTGGGGCTGAGGTTGGCGCAGCCAGTGGCGATGCCTTCCATGGACTCCACAAACTTGTCAAACACCGGCTGCCCCAGCTGCAGGTTCGGGTTCCGTCGCTTCGCAATGATCTGGTACGGCAAAATCATTCCCGCCAGCATCTTCATCACATTGTCCTCTGAGCAGAAAGCTTCCAGTGTTGTGGGGGAACTGCACCACCACATCCCTCTCCCGCCCCGTGAACGGGTTCCGCTGCACCATGCGCTGCAGATCGATGGTATACACCACACCCAACGGGTACGCGTCAGTGATGATTGGTGCGGTTTGCGCGCACATGTAGCCCTGCGCGCCGGCTCGGAAGATGGCTCGGGCCGTGGCTGCGTCGTACTGGCGGAGGTTATTGCGGCTGTCTCGCCAGTGGATGGTCGGCATCGGTGCTCCCCCTGGCAGCTGAAGGCCCTGAGTTGACAGTGCCAGATAAGAAGTTGCCAGAGGTGAGAAACACGAAATCCCAAGAGTGAGGAAAGGCGTGCTAGTAAGAAGAGTTTGATTAAAGACGTCTAGAAATTTCGGGTACTGTTTCTGTTGTCGTGCAACAAGGGATTTGACAGCTAGAGAAATCTCGGCATCTCCAAGGCTCGCCTTTCCTGCTGGTTGGGCATTCCCAAGGCCTGAGACGGCGCAGGAGCAGGCAGCGCCGCGCCAATCACCCTGATCTCGCGCGCGTACCCGCTCTGCGCGTTCCGCTGCTTCATGGCGCGCAGATCCGCGGTATAGCGCGCGCCGTTAGGGTACCCGTCGGACACGAAGGTGCCGAGATCGACCGACGGCAGCCGCCTCGCGATGGCGTCGCGGACGGCGTTCTCGAGGTGCGGCGGGTAGCGGCGCCACTGCGCGTCGTCGCGCCACCACACGCCAGGCGCGGCGGGATCCGCGCACGGCAGGAGAATACACATGGGCGCGGGTTAGGTTGGTTGATGTTTTAGGGTGAAGGTGGCGGCGCGGGTGAGATTTTCGTGAGCAATGATCGGCGAAGGCAGAAAAGGCGGAAGAGCGATGATGCTCGCAGACACACGCGGTTACTCGGAGAGAGAAAATCCGCCTTAGCTAGTTTCCGACTGGGGCCGCCGTAGGTCCTAGATAGGCTGTAGCTTTCCTGCTCAAATTCCTCCAAACCGATTTAATTGGAGGCAAGAAAGCTTGATATTCTCACGCTCGGTGAGTCCGCGGCGGCGACGCATCTCGCCACGCCTTGAGCTCGCCTCCCATCACAGACCCTCTAATTCTAATCATGCTCGTCCCCGCAAGCCCGTGCAGCGTCTGCGCAGGCATCGGCGCGCCACACATCATGATGAGTTGCGTTTTATGAGGCCAAGACTGCATGTACGACCTAAGGATCCTCTCCTATCACCATGTGTCCCTGGCAGAAATTCCGAGATTCCAAAACTTCGTCATCCAAGCCATTGCCTACGGTTCCTCATCGGCAGTCATTGCATGACCTGCTTTCGCGCTGGCGTTGGGCCCATCCCACCCGCCATGCACCCACGCCGCAGTCCGCGCCGTGATAATCTGTCATCCGCTGGTAGCTTTATAACTAGGTGAGTTATGGAATGGATGCGAGTTGCAGAGCATAAGTGAGTTCACTTCAATACAGTTTATAACGGTTTAAAACGTATTGCTACGGTTTGATTGGTTCTAAAACTGGCGACAATGGGTTCCTGGGAAACAGTTTTCCTGACATTTTGTTCTCAAATTTCTGGTCTACATTGAAGCAGTTCCGATTCACGTTCGAATTCAGAGACTTGAATATAAAGGACGCAGTAAAGAAGAAATGGTTAGCACGGTGTTGAATGCGGTCCTGTGGGGTGAAAGTGAATTCAGTGTGAATTCAGCATTAAAAAACGAGAGATGAGAAAATGAGGAAGCAAACCAAACTACCAGAAACGTTTCTGAAAAAAAAAAAACACTAGTTGCTAGCAATCACGGCAAACGCCCAAAACGCTGCTGCAGATTGTCTTGCCTCCTCCAAGCTTTCCTCACCTAGGTTTATCCCCGCTAGATTAATTTACAGTCGAAATAGTGCGTTTGCCTCAAGAAGATGACGCGCGCTGCCAAGGGCCCAGACACGAACCTCTGGCTGCTGGGGGCATGACGTACCCCCCATCCCCATCCAAGCTTCTCCTCCTGGCGGCCAATGCAGCGTCGCATTTGTCCATCCCTATCCTCTCTGCTGACGACAGGCTGTGTCGCCGAGGGGCCAGCGACGCCTGTGGCGAGTCGCAATGCGTGGAGGCGGCGCACTGCACGTCGCACGAGCAGCTGTTGCTCATGCCGTGGCAGCTCCGGCAAATGCTGGACGATAACTTGAAGGCAACGTCCCATTCCGATTCAGCAATACGCGCTTCAAGTTCGCTCCGCACTTTGCTGCAACCTGGCGACGAGATTCTTGTAACAGTCTCGGCCGTCGCGAGTAAATCTCGTTGCACGCTGCGCGCTAACGGGATCCCATCACTCGAGGCGGCTCCGCCAGCTCGGAGGCTCAGGCGCGAAAGCGGAAGTACCGGCGACCCCTCGCGCGAAAGCGGAGGTACCGGCGATCCCTCGCGCGAAACAGAGCAGTGACGAGAATGCGCCGGGCGGGTGGTCACCTGCTGGTCAGCGCGCTTCGGCGTGAGGAAATAGGTTTCACCCGGGACGAGAGGGGTGGTTGGTGACACGACGGATACGCCCGACGTGAGGTGCGTATCAGGATACTCAGAGAGGACGGTCTGGGCCGTTAGATGCTCGCCGGATTGGGCCGACGAATCGTCGAAGAAGCGAACGGAGCCGTCGGGGAGCATTACTATGACGGGATCATTCTCTTCGATGGTCTCTGTTACGACTTTGGAGGTTCTGAAGGAAAGTCTGCGCGGAGCTATGGCGCTAATTGAAGCCATGTCGGGAAGTGATTGCGAATGCAATGCGGAGTCACATTCGCCGAACTTATATCTGAGTCGAGAGGGTACTCGCGGCTGCGCAACGATGAGGGCAGCATTGTCGTCTCGAGAAGGTTGAGGAGGCAAGCTATTTTGGAAAAAAAAACGGAAACTGAAGCAGTTAATCGCTTGATCTCGATCTAAGCGTTTCTTACATCGAGGCGTTTTAATCTAGGAGGCAAAATTAATTGCTTGATTTCAATCACGTGTGCCTTCAATCAAATCCGCGTCCCATCGTGATTTGTGAACGGGAGCTGCATGTCACCTTCCTTTTTTCCGCGTTGCGAATTTTGTACTCTAGCATTCCAGTACAGTTTTATGAGGCATCAGTCACGTCACTGTGTGAGTGGAATAAAAAGCGGTCTGAAATGCACACCACAGAAAACACAGTTGAGAGAAGCGGGGAAGCAGACCAGTCACTCAAGTGCTTTGAGTGGGGTGAGAGGGGTGGGAAATTGGTGGCACGTTGGGTTTCCGGCTGAATGACTGACTGATGTTTCGGAGTCGGGACAGGAGGGAATGGGATGGATGACTGACAGCCGCAGAAACGCAGTCCAGAGAAGCGGGAAAGTGGGCTGGCTGCGTTGTGAGCACGTGATCACCAGAGGTGAAGCGTAGGGGAAGAGGAGAGTGGAACGGGTTTTGAGCAGATTTGGTTCGGTACTGTTACTGTACGGAAGAAAAACGCCTGGCACGCAGCATTGTCGCTTTTGGGTCATGGTTATGGGGCATTTCGATCAATCCCAGAGTGCAGAAAGAAGGAGCTCGGAAGGCATATTTCACTTTTCATTCGCCCACATGTACAGCTCATCTTCAAGATCCCCACTCAGTGCTTCACAAGGAAGCTCGTTACTTGTGAGGAGACATGCATACACTGATAACAAAAGTTGACTACATTTGGGTTCAGGTTTTTGTTGATAATTTTTTAGCTTGAAGGGCAATTTTTTCTCAAGTACTTCTCTATAGGTTAGGGGCAAATTAACGCTGAAAATGTATTAAAATTACAATCTGGGAAAAATACCCATTCAAGAACATAGAAAATCATTATAAAACCGTATGTGTGGGGGAGCACCTAAAAAAACCTGATGATTTCCACGATGAATGCTCGCACTGGGTGTTATGAGTTAAACAGGACTGTTGTAAGGTAGGAGATTCAACACTTTCTTGTATGGTACAACAGATTGGCAGTAATTACAGTTTGCTCAGCAAACAGGAAGCAACCAGCACTCTCAAAACTGGGAACAGGGAAAATTAGGAACCACACACCACCAAAAACACAACCTCCCTTAGCAAAGCCCGAATCGCCGCTGCATATCTTTTTGGTTGCTGTCTTTCTCAAAGTCGAGTTTTTTTTTTCCCAACAGTGAGGTAATCAGTCGATTTTTTTCTCAAAAGTTGCAGTCTCGAGGGGCGAAACCCCAGAAGATGGCACGCAGTGCCAGGGGCCCAGACAGAAACCTCTGGCTCCTGGGAGGCATAATGTAGCCGTCGTCATTATCTACGCTTTTCCTCCTGGCGGCCAATGCAGCGTCGCATTGCTCCATCCCTATCCTCTGTGCCGATGACAGGCTGTATCGCCGAGGGCCCTGCGACGGCTGCGGCGCGTCGCAATGCGTGGACGCGGAGCACTGAACTTCGCAAGAGCAGCAGTTGCTCATGCCGTGGCAGCTATGGCAAATGCTGGACGACAAAGGAACGTCCCATTCGGTCGTAAACGACGTAGTGAACAACGGAGAGCGCTGAAATTGGTCAGAAGCGGCGACTTTAGCACCCGGTCGCACAGCAGCTGTGCGACTGCCGTTTTGGTCGCACGCTGTATCAGCCCAAGTGATCCCCCGTGCGGCGCCCTGCTGCCCGAAATCTACGCCCACGCCGCTGGCGACGTTCGTGGGCCGCCGATGGCGAATCCGCGTGTCCGTCATCATGAACAGCCTGCTGTCCGCGTCAGCCCAGTCCTGTGCTGACTCGGACACACTGTGCATCATCGCCGCCTTTGCGTCACCACTGGCGGCGGAAGATGCGGACTGAAGCTTCTTCGCGCCGGAGGAAGAGAGGCGGCGTAGGCTGCGGGGCGTGATTTGCGCGAGCGTCGAAAGGACTTTAGATTTAAGGGATGAGCCTTCGGAGGAAGAAGGCCGAGAAGCGGTGGCGATCGTGACCACAGCCGCTGCGCTGGCCTGGACGTCCGCGATATGGTAGCATTTTTCGTCAAGTGCCGCGATCTGCGAAGGGAAAAGAGGAATCAAGAACGTTAGACCTGAGGATAGGGAAATGCGATTGTGAAGGAGCTGGTGTGAAAGGATATAGAAATGTTGGAAATGGAGCTTACCTCAGCGAGGATGGGATTTCGGCTCGCGAGAGGCGATGGGGCGCGAGGAGGCTTGGTTTCGCTTCGCTGGCTGGTAACACTGGACACGGACGAAGCTGGCGACGGATTGTTGGACGACACATTGCTTCGGCAAATCTCGCCACGGAGCGGCGACAGCTGGATTTGACGCCTTTCAAATATTGCCTTTACGGGGCTAGTACTGTTTTTCAGAGTATGGCTTCCACTGTAGGTCTTTGATTTGAAAAATCCAGGCTCTTCTTTCAAATCCTCCTGCGCGTTCTCTCCTTGTCCACCCTGGTTCGAACAAAAGCTGCGGCGTCTGTTACCCATGCATGTCGGCGCAGGGAAATTGAATTCCGACTCGGCGATCCTTGCTTCAAGTTCGCTTCGCGCATTGCTGCATCCGGGCGACGAGATCCTTTTAACAGTTTCGACCGTCGCATGTACATCTCGATGCTCGTTGAGCACCAGCGGGATCCCGTCACTCGAGGCTCCGTCACTCGAGGCTGCGCCAGCTCGGAGGCCGCTTCGTCGCGACGGCGGAAGAATCGGCGATTCGTCGCGAGCAGAGCAGCGGCGAGGAGGCGGGCGGATGGTGGCCTGCTGGGCAGCACGCTTCGGCGTGAGGAAATAAGTTTCGCCCGGCACGAGAGGAGCGGTTGGGGACACGACGGATACGACCGATGTGAGGTGCATGTTAGGGTATTCGGAGAGGACGGTCTGAGCCGTTAGATGCTCGCCAGATTGGGTCGACGAGTCATCGAAGAAACGAACGGAGCCGTCGGGGAGCATTACTATGACGGGTTCATTCTCTGTGGACGCTGTTACGGCTGTGCAGGTTTTGAAGGAAAATTGCCGCGCAGCTAAGGCGCTGATGGAAGCCATGTCTTGAAGCAATCGCAAGTGCAATGCAGACAAGGTCACTGAGCTGATATTTGAGGTGAGAGGATTAGCCACGGTGAGCAACGTTGAGAGCGGCTTATTCGATTGAGAAGGTTGACGAGGGAATGCTATATTGGGAAAGCGGAATTCGAAGCAAATATATTTATGCGTCGGAAAAATAGGAAGGGAATTAATGCTCGTTCTCGATCACGTGCCTTGATCAAAACCCGCGTCCCATCGTGAAGTTGAGCTGCGTGTCACTTTCCTTTTCCATGTTGCGATTTTTGTAATCTAGCATCCAGGATAAGGGGCACGCAATTGTCTGAGTGCCAGTGGACTGGGAGTGGTTGTGGTGGAATGCGCAATGGCCTCGAGAGAGTGGAATTGTGGGTTTGGCGGACTCAGATGGCGTTCCCACGGTTTGGACAAGACGTGAGTCTGCCCACGCGGTTCGTAATTCGGGAGGATGGTGTCCATGGTGGGGTACTTCCCCACTTTGGACACCGCGGTGTTCTATGCTCAAAATGGCAAATTCGGCTTCAATCTCGCCTCCAATTACACAGCAAAACGAAGTTTCGCCAACCGTAGCGAGTTCCAGCATTAATTTTCAGGTGTATTTTTCCAAGTAGTTCTGTCTGTTCGAGCGTGGAGTTGACTCTGGTTTCTGTACAGGAAGAGAGTTGACTTTGATTTTTGGGTTGCGTAGCAACCCCTTTACATTTGGTAGCACTTTTTTCGGTCGACTCGAATGAACAGTGCACCTTTTTTGTCACTTTCCCAACGTCTGAAGCACTCGCTTTAACGTTTTGAGAACGTGTGCTTCAAATGCGTGGAAATGACAGGCACTGCTACACAAGAGTCTCCAAAAAAGGTGAAACCAAATGAGACCAATTGTTCCAAAATCGTCGATAAATACGGCGAATGGAAACAATTGGTAGCCTCGCAATATTTTACGTAGATCACACACAATTGACGAGACAATAAATTCAACGTGGATGCAAATTACGGTATTTGCATCTACCGTATAGAACGTGTGCAAAACGACGACACTTAACAATATTAAATGTCATAAAGTGAATGGCAAAATGCATCAGTGCTACAATAGCGATGGATCCGGTATGCTAAGGCGAGCAACGCTGCCCCAACAACGATCCCCACCTCAATTGCAGACCTGACACACTTTAACATGACACCTTACAACAAACACGAACGAGCACATGCGACCTTGTACTGGTACAACGGCGACAACGCATAACAATAATAAGTGTCTTGGGGAGAATGCTAAAATGCATCGATGATGCAACAAAGGTTGGTCTGGCACGCTAAGGCTATTGCCCCACCGGCGATCACAACCTGAGTTGCATACACGAGGCACTTCAGCACACGCCTTGAGACAGGCACAAAACGAAACGAACAACACGACTGCACATACATATCTCACACAGGCTCACACACTCACATACACACTGACACGCACGCAAACTAGCACAGATACATACGGATAGTCAACACCCAATCATCATGAAATTCAGCTATTAATAAATAATCACTAGCCAATCACCCCTTACCCTCCCTACACCCCTCCGTCCCCCCTCCCTCCCTCCCCACCTCCCTCCCTCCCCACCTCCCTCCCTCCCTCCCTCCCTCCCTTCCTCCCTCCCTCCCTCCCTCCCTCCCTCCCTCCCTCCCTCATCTCCCTCCCAACCCCTCCCTCATCTCCCTTCTCTGCCAAACAAAATCAACGAATGCAGCTCATGCGCCCTGCATTGAGCAAAAACAGAGAATGCAAAGCACGCGCCCTGCACAAGAAAAAGGCAAAAACAAAGAATGTTCACACACTGTACAAAAAAATCAATAAAACGCATAATGCTTCCTCTCGAGGAGGCCAAGCAGGAAACTTGACAAGCAATGGAAAGTTGCCAACTTACAGAAGTAAAATGGTGTGGCACCACAGTACTACGCCAACATGATGCAATACATTACAGCCACCCTCACGTTCAACTTCACAATCACGCTCCGCTCACTCTTGTACTCAATCTTGCACCCACTCACACACAGACACACTAAGACTCTCAACTTTCTTAGACACTCCCTGAGAAACAAACACACAAACCTACACGCTATCTCACGCGCTCTCTCACACGCACTCTCTCGCACACTCTCACGCGAACTTTCACGCAGACTCTCGCGCGCTCTCTGACGCGCTCCCTCACGCTCTCTCTCACGCGCACTCTCACGCACTCTCTCACTCGCTCCCTCACGCGTCTCTCGCGCGCTCACTCACGTGCACTCTCACGCGCTCACTCACGCGCACTCTCACGCGCACTCTCACGCGCCCTCTCACGCACCCTCTCACGCGCCCTCTCACGCGCTCTCTCACGCGCTCCCTCACCTGCCCTCTCACGCGGCCTCTCACGCGCACTCTCACGCGCACACGCACTGTTACGCACTCTCTCACGCGCACTCTCACGCGCACTCTCACGCGCTCTCACGCACTATCTCACGCGCGCACTCTTTTTACACGCTCTCTCACACGCACTCTCACGCGCACTCCCACGCGCACTCTCACGAGCTCCCTCACGCGCTCGCTCACGCGCACTCTCACGTGCACTCTCACGCGCACTCCCACGCGCACTCTCGCGAGCTCCCTCACGCGCTCGCTCACGCGCACTCTCACGTGCACTCGCGAGCCCAGGCCAACGGTGCACGCCGCCTCTCCCTCCCACGCTCCCTACCACACGCTCTTGGTGCTCCCTCCAGCTCTTCCTTCACTCTCACATCCGCTCTCTCCCAATATTTTATTGGTAGTGAAGTGAAACGCAAGAGGAAACCAACATCGATAAGCATAAACTACAAACAAAGGTATGAGAAATTAGGTAAGATTCGAGAGGGGGGGGGGGGAAAGGGACCGGGAAGTTAGGGCCCACGCCGCCATAGCACTACGTTAACGTGCCCAACCAAGTACCCTAGAAGCCAACGCGAAAGATAACAATGCCCAAAGTTCAGGAAAACACAAAATTTGGTTACATTTCTTAACCTCCGTATTTCTATACAACTCTACCAACCCCTGCCCTCTCCTTCCCTCTCTCTCGCCCTTTCTCTCCCTCTCCCTCTCCCTCTTTCTCTACCTCTTCCCCTCCCTCTCCCTCACCCTCTCCCTCTCCCTCTCCCTCTCCCTCTCCCTAGCCGTACTCGCCCTCTTCCTCGCCCTGTCGTCATTTTCTACTGTCTATTCCCCTCGCTCACCGTCTTGTGCCGACGTTGCTCGCAGCCCCCCGTTGCTGTTGCCGCCGCCGCGGAGCCCTTACAAGCCACATCCCTGGAAAGCGGGTGTGGAGAACGGGCAGGGGAGGGGAGGGTATGAGTTATCACCATGTGCACATGACATCAGCAAACGCAAACGCCAAACGACGCCAGCACCAGCGCCTAAAGGCGCCAGCGGCTGCGCCAAACGGCGCCTGCGCCAGCGCCAGCGCCAAAAGGCGCCAGCGCCAGCGCCAGCGCCAAAAGGCGCCAGCACCAGCGCCAAAAGGCGCCAACGCCTGCGCCAAACGGCGCCAGCGCCAGCGCCAGCGCCAGCGCCAGCGCCAAACGGCGCCAGCGCCAAACGGCGCCAGCGCCAAACGGCGCCAGCACCAGCGCCTGCGCCAAACGGCGCCAGCGCCAGCGCCAAACGGCGCCAGCGCCAGCGCCAGCGCCAAAAGGCGCCAGCGCCAAAAGGCGCCAGCGCCAGCGCCAAACGGAGCCAGCGCCAGCGCCAGCACCAAAAGGCGCCAGCACCAGCGCCAGCGCCAAACGGCGCAAGCGCCAGCGCCAAAAGGCGCCAGCGCCAGCGCCAAAAGGCGCCAACGCCAGCGCCTGCGCCAAACGGCGCCAGCGCCAGCGCCAGCGCCAGCGCCCACGGCGCCCGCGCACAAAGGGGCCACCGCGAACGGCGCCAGCGCCAACGGCGCCCGCGCCTTACACGCCAATGACGGCAAAGGCGCGAGCGCCCTAAGGCCAACGCCCTTGGCGTTAACGCCCAAGGGCCAGCCACCTAGGCGCCATCGGCCTAGGTTTGAGCGCTAAGGCCGCGAGTGCTCTATGCTATTTTGCCTAATGTGCGAGGGTCAAGGGCAAGCGCTCTAGGCGCGTGCGGCTTAAGCACTAACAAGGTAGCGTAGTACCTGAGAAGGTCGTTGGAGTTCTAGATTGACGAGAGTTGGAAAGAGCGTGAGAGAAAGGGTAGAGAGCAATTGAGAGGAGCAGTTGGTTGGGAGGAGAACGAAACCCTAGCCAAACCAAGTCAGCAAAATATCCTCTTTAGTGTAAGTCGGTTCCCCAAGTTATATAAAATCCAATCTGTTGCTAGTGGTTTGCTTGTTGATAATTGAGTAGTAGAAATATGTGTCATTCATATCTTCTTGTCAATATGTTATTCGATTTGGTCAACTTCAGTGTACCTTTTGTTTGCAACCTTTATTACAACCAAACAACAAATCATACATTATTTTGTTAATTGGGATGCAATTATTTGCTCACATTAGGCTATGTTTTTTTTTTCAGGCGCAGTGTTGACGTATGGTGGTTAAATAGTGGTGTCCATATATTACGGATCGAAATATTTCATTTCACTATTTTTATGCTATTTTTTTCATTGGTAAGTTACTACTGAAATACCAGTACTCTTCATGTACCGTAGGCAGGCCCTACGATATCAGGAAATTTTCCCTGAAATTCCTGATTTTCAGGGATTTTTTTGTACCTACCCTGATTTTCCAGTGTTCAGCTTTTTGGGGGACTGATTTTTCAGCCTTCAGGGGCCAGATGACTCTGAACTTTCATGTTTTTTTTTTAAGGGACACTGATTACACTACGTCGTAACGAAACTGACACTGAATGTGGCAGCAGCACCTCCAGCAAGAGAGGGGGAGGGCAGTGGCAATGGCAAGGGAAAGGAGGCAGATGAGGAGTTGGAAGAATCAGAGACTAACAGCAGTGATGATAATGAGTAAATGAACCCTCTGTTGCTGATGCTTGCTAGCTAGTTAGTGTTATATTATTTGAAGTTCAATATCAGCCTTTACAAAAAGGGAACACTGATGCATCAGATTTTTTTTTAAAGGTAACACTGAATTTTCAGGCTTTTTTTTGGGGGGACACTGACGATCAGTGATTCGACACAGAGTGACCCTGATGCATTAACATGCCTAAAAGTGAATCATAGGCCCTGACCGTAGGCGCGAGAGACGGTATAAGAGATTCCATAACACTCTACGCAACCCTCCCGACGTCGACACGTCGAGCCTTGTTGAAACGCTTTCGCCCCAAAATTGATTCGTACCCTGCCCTTCGACTCCACTTCACACCGTGGTTCGCGGATGTTATCGTCAGACGTTCGATTGGGTAACCATTACGGATCTTACGACCCAGATTGCTTGGACATGGTGTCCAGACCTGGAGTTACAACATTCTTTTTTTCTACAAACATCGGAAAATTTCGAGCCGCGTGGGCAGACTCACACTTGTCCAAACCTTGGGAGCACCTCCTCAGACGCTAGGAGGTATGGAATGGATGGGATGGATGACTGACACAGAGAGGGAGCATAGGGAGAGCACAGGGAGGTGGGGAGTGGACCAGTTGGGCTGTGAGCACGTGATGAACAGTGACGAAGGGAGGGAGAGGACGTTTTTTCATTCCGAGCAATCATGGCTGTGATTGCCGGGACGTTTTTCCGTTCCATAATCGGGGTCATTCGGGCTCGTGTCAGAGAGCTCAGGTCTGGCGCTGCTGACTCGGAATTGGACGCTCGTAACGCCCGAAGTTTTCTCTCTGCACCTCGGAATTTATGAGCTACACCTTGTGAACCACCCTAATATATAGGGGTCCTCCAAAAGAAGAGTGGAAGAGTTGAGCTGGGAAGGGCTCACACTGTACACAAGCACTCCCTGCTTTCGGTTTATTCACTGTGCAGCACAGCCCATCTTGAGCGACAAGCGGAGATCAATCACTCGCATGTAGGTTCGACGAGATCCAGTGGGGATGTCCTCGAATTTAGAATCCGCATTTATTTGCCACGCAAAAATGGGGGACGAAAAGATTCTTGGAAAGATCCGGCGAAGTTTACTTGCCTCGGTGTCCTGCAATGGACATGAGATGGAAGTGAAACAAGCATTGGCCATTTTCTGTGGTCGACAGTGCTTCACTGTCGTGAGTCTTTGTTAATGAGCAATCCGTTTTCTTCACATTGTTTTCAGACAGACTGTAACAGCTCTCACACTTTTGGTGTGCCTAAAATAGAGTCACTGGTCCGTAATGTTGAAAGAATGAAAGCCCAAGTTGAGAAAGATGTGCTTTCAAAGTCATAGCGTAATGAGCCTTAGTTTTTGCTGGGATGTGTTTCAAGTGAACCCCTTCCTAAAAAGGAGTACGTGTTTTCTTATGCAACCTCATTCTAGTTTGAGTGCGGCGATATCTTCTTAGAGGCCCCGTATATGGCGGACCCACGGATATAGGTGGATTATCTGATGGCTGCGCCTAATTTAATGGAATAGGTGCTTGCTTATGTATCCTCATTGTAGTTTGTCACAATACATTCTCTCAGTTGGCGCTATATTGAAGCATGCATTACCTGGGTTCAGCGTCCTTATCGGACCTTCTGGTTCTGGTCAACCCATTAGTCTGCAGGCCACTCAGCTTGTTATTGCAACTAGTTTTGTCAGGTGATTCGTTCCCCAGGTCTCTAAATCACTGCAATCAGTCAGCATGTCTAAGCGCGCCGGCGACTACGACCACGAGAACGGCCGAGAGAAGCGGCGGGAGCGGGACGAGCGGAGCGACGCGGACGTCATTTTCCGCATCCTCTGCCCCCAGGCACGCCGTTAGATGCACGACATTAGAGGCACGACGATAGAGGCACGAATTTAGAGGCGCGGCGGTAGAGGCACGACCGCGGAGTCATTCGTTAGGGTCACAGCGTAAAGTGATCGTGTCCGCCAAATAATAATCTGCATTTTCGCCCCACATTCAGATATTCTCCTGTTTCCCACCAGGAGCACTCCACCTGCAATTGTAGTTCACTCCAAATCGTTTCTCAACTGATCCATTCTCACCGCGCGTTCATTCCGATTATTCGCGACTCGATCGGGGCTCACGTCAGGCTCTTGGAGTCATTCACACGCGTAGTCCCGTTCTTTCCGCACCCACATCGTTTTGGCAAATACTTCATTCCGCAAATCCATTCTTCCCGCCACATCACATTTCGTTCCATTCTTTGCCCATCCCCGTTGGTCCTTGAACCCCATTGGTTCCCCATCCGCCAGGCGCGGATCGGATCACTCCTCGGGAAGCACGGCGTGATCATTCAGAGCATTCGCGAATCCACCGGCGCGCGCCTGAAGCTCGCGGATCCCATCCCCGGCACGGACGAACGCGTAATAATCATCTCCGCTCGTAGCGACAAGAACTTTTGCAGCGGCGACGCTGCGAACGACGGCGACGCGGCTACGGATCGCCCGGAGGACTGGTCCGTCGCACAGGAAGCCCTGATTCGGGTGCACGCGAGAATAGCCGACGCGGATGGCGACAATCGCGAGTTTCGCGACAAGGATGGGCCAGAGGGTGGTTCTACAAACGGAGCTGCCAATAGCGGAGGGACCCCTGCGAGGCTGCTCGTGCCGAGCAGTCAGATCGGGTGTCTTCTGGGGAAGGGCGGCTCGATCATCGCGGGCATGCGACAGGACAGCGGCGCGCACATTAGGATCTTCAATAAGGACAAACTGCCGCCCTGCGCGCTGCCCACGGACGAGTTGGTGCAGGTACGCGGTCTTAGAGGCGCCTACATTCTCGAGTTAGTGTAGGTGCGCGGTCTTAGAGGCGCCTACATTCTCGAAGTAGCGCAGTTGCGCGGTCGGCGTGGCTGTAGATATCAGATGCCCCAAAAATGCCCATGCTGTAAGGGTCTGATCCGCGCTGGTTTTTTAGAATTCTCACGAACCAGCTTGTAGATACCAGCTGTCGATTTTTGAGTCGACTCAAAAATAGATACCAGATGTCCCAAAGATGCCCGTGCTGTAAGGGCCTGATCCGCGTCCACACCTTGTCGCATTTCTCGTCCCAATCCCTGTCCAATCCCGTGTTGCCACGTGGCAGGTGACAGGCGATTATCCTGTGGTCCAGAAGGCCCTAGAGCTCATCTCTATTCGCCTCCGTCGCTCGCCTCCTCGCGACCCGCCCAACTTCCTCGCCATGCACCCCACGTCTGGTCACCATCAGCCTGCTGGTTACCAGCCGGCGCCTGGTTACCAGGCGTCGGGTTACCACCGCGCAGCTGATTCGTACCCCCCTCGGTCCGCCCCAGCTGCGGCCTTCCCCCCGCAAGGCTATTCCCCTTACGCTCTCCCCCAAAGCTACGCAGCCGCGCCGTCCCTCTTCGGGGGAGCGTGGGGCGCGGGCGCAGCAGCAGGGGGGGCGCACGGTTATGGGGGGATGGGGGGCGGGGGCAGGGGCGGGGGAGGCGCGGAGGGGGCGGCGGTGGAGATGGAATTGCGGGTGCTGTGCCCCGCGGATAGAGTGGGGATCGTGATTGGCAAGGGCGGGTCGCGAATCAAGCAGGTGCGTGTGACTGTAACGAAGCAGGTGGGTGAGGTGGAGTGGCGAGTGGGGAGGGTGCATCATGCATGGGAGTGCAAGAGGTGAAGAAATGAGAGGGAGCCTGGCAGTATACGATGGTCGTGTGATCAGACATTCCAGCGAGCTGCAGTTTCTAAGAAGAAGGTTTAGCAAAGGAGAAAACAGTAGAAGAAATGAGAGGGAGCCTGGCAGTATACGATGGTCTGGGTCTGTGCTCTGTGTGCCTTGCGTTGCTCCGTTGCAATGGTATGGATTTCATTGCTTGCTATGCGTTCCTCTGCTTGCATTGGCTGCTTGCTTGCTCGCATGGGTTGCGTGCGTGCACGGGTGGTGTGGTGTGGGCGTCAGATCAAGGAGGAGACGGGCGCGCGAGTGAAGGTGACAGAGGCCGTGGCGGACTGTGATGAGCGCATCGTGATCATTGATGCCATGGAGGTGAGTGAAAGGACAGTTGACTCGTTGACTACTTGGTTTGTAGGCACTGTTCCGCGTGCATGCAGCCATCTCGCGCCTTCGCCCTTACCCTCTCTATCTCTCATGCTCGTTTGCTCCCCTCTGCCCTCGCCTTGTGCCTCTCTCCCAGGCGCCCTTCTCGCCCACTCGCCCACGGAGGAGGCGCTGTTCCGCGTGCATGCAGCCATCTCACGCTCTCCCCCTCTCCAATCCTCCCCTCTCCCTCCTTCCCCCCCTCTTCTCTCCCCCCAGGCGCCCTTCTCCGGCCACTCACCCACAGAGGAGGCGCTGTTCCGCGTGCATTCAGCCATCTCGCAACACCATGCGGGCGACAGGGCGGCAGGGGCAGCAGAGGAGGGCGGGAGAGACACCCACGGGGTCACTGCTCGACTGCTCGTTAGAAAGGTGCAGGTGAGTTTGTTGGGAAGGGGGAAGGAAGGAATTTGTTTTACCAGTTAGCAGGGAAAAGGGGCAGGTGCACGAGAGGAGAAGATTGTTTTAACTTTAGCAGTAGTCTGTGAGCGGGTCAAGCAGCAGTCACTGTCTGGCAGCTTCAAGTCAGCCTCTTCGCCATGTGCCTCTTCGCCATGTGCCTCTTCGCCATGTGCCTCTTCACGCACTCCTCACCCCTCTCCCCTTGTGGCCTCGCCAGGTGGGGTGTGTGATGGGCAAGGGCGGCAGCATCATCAGCGAGCTGAGGAGCACGAGCAGGGCGCGCATCAACATCCCTCCCCGGGATCAGCTGCCTAAATGCGCTGATGAGAGCGATGAAGTGCTCGTGGTGAGTGGTGGTGGGTGGGTCTTGAGTGTTGATTGGTGGGTGATGGGTGGTGGATGGTGGGTACTGCTGCTGCTGCTGCATTAGCTGCTGTCGTTGTCTCCATCTCTCTGGCCTGCATTTCTTCCCCCACCTTCTCACTCCTCCCCCTCCCCTCTCCCGATCCCCTTTCACCAGGCATCAGGCGCTCCCGATCCCCTTTCACCAGGCATCAGGCGCCTCCTCCTGTGTCACTCGCCCCACTGTGTGTTTCCCATGTCTTCTTCTCCCTCTCCCCCCCCCGTCTTCTTTCACCAGGTATCAGGCGAGCCCCACTGTGTGTCCCACGCGCTGCGCCTCATCTGTGCGCGCATCCGAGGCAGGGAAACCGCCGTTGCCTCTAAAGGCGCTGCTGCTGCCGATGCTCGTGCTGGTGCTGCTGGTGGGGGTGGTTATGCAGAGACAGGGAGGGGAGGGGGAGGGGGGTACGGCTATCCTGGGTCGAACAGTCGAGGGGAGGGGGCGTATGGGTATTCAACACCACCAGCAGCAGCAACAGCGCCAGCAGTGGTGGCCACTCTGTCTGCTGGGGGCCCTGATGGCACTGTTGGGTGGTCGTACGAGGTGAGGTGCATTGCGGCGGGATGTGGTGCATTGTGCCTGTTTCTTTCAATATCCAACTAACTGCTCACTGGAATCGACCCTCCTCTCCCTCTGCCCCCACCCCTTTTCCCCCACCTCCCCCTCCTTCCCTCCCTCCCTCATTTCTCGCTCTCGCGCCCTCCCTCCTTTTTCTCCTCGCCCCTTCCCTCATCTCCTGCCCTTCCTCTTCTCTCCGCCTCCTTCCTCTCTGTCCCTCCCGCACCTCCCTCTCCTCTCCTCCTTTCATCCCTCCCTCTCCTCTCCTCCCATGCACACCCCTCCTTTCTGAGCAGCCAAAGGTGGAGCCTTCCTACCATGATTCGGGCTACTCTGCTCCCAGGTAACACCTGCCCCCAGGTAGCACCTGCTCCCAGGTAACACCTCCCCCCAGGTACCACCTGCTCCCACGAGTTACGCCTCACCCACTTTTTGCTTCCCTTTTCCCCCCCGCGCTTTCCTTGTCCTCCTGCCACTCTCGTCACACAGGGGCTCTGGCTGGGACGTGGCGCCAGCAGCAGCGCAAGAGTATGGCAGGTGCGTCTTACGATTTGAGTTGAGAATTCCGTTCTGCAATCTACACTGCAATCCATACCACATGCATCCCTTTCTTTGTTTCCTCCCAACTTGCTCCCAAACTTCCCCTTGTCCCCATTTTTGTTGCCCTCCCATTCCTCTTCCATCTGCTTCCCAAACCCCTGCTTATCCTTGTTTTGTTACCATTCCATCCCCATCCATCCTCCTCCTCATTCCCGACTGAATTACCTTCCGTTTTCCCTTCCATCCCCCTCCTCATCACCTCTCTTAACTGCACTCCCTCTTCTCTCGCCTCGTCACCGTGTGTCGTCCTTTACATGCAGCTACTCACATGCCTCTGCTCCCTCGTCTGCCCACTTCTCCTCGCCTCCTCCCACTCACACTGCTGCTGCTGCCAGTGCTGGTGGCGCTGCTGGTGGTGGCAGTGCTGGTGCTGGTACAGGTGGTGGTGGTGGTGGGTCAGGGGGAGCGGCAGGAGGAGGAGTGATGACAGCGCTGGTGACAGTACCTGCTGTGGCAGCAGGGGCGGTTATCGGCAAAGGGGGAGCCAACATCCAGCAGATCAAAAGCGTATGACAGGGAGGGGGGTGGAAGGGGGAGGAAGATAGGGGGTTGGATTCAGGGGTGTACGATGGGGGGAAGGGGGTGTGGGGAGGATGCAGTTGGAGGCATGTACTGAGGAGGGAGAGTGGATGGAATCACAAACTGGATTGGTAGCTTGTGATTCCATCAGGTGGGGAGGGGGTGTGGGGAGGGGGTGTGGGGAGGATGCAGTTGGAGGCATGTACTGAGGAGGAAGGTACATCAGGTCACCAGGTATCCAGGGAGCGTTTTTTCTCTGTATGTTTTCTGAGAATTCTCAAAAAACATGTACTTGGGCTGAAGTACATCAGGTACATCAGGTCACCAGGTATCGAGGGAGCGTTTTTGCTCTTCCCCCCTGGCCCTCAATCTCCCTTTCACGTGTGTAGATATCAGGGGCGTGTGTGCGCATGTATGAGGTGAGGTTGAGAGCGAGCGAGATGTGCCGCATGGTAACCACCCTCTTGCACCTCCCATCCCATCCGTACAGATCCCAGGGGCGCGAGTGCGCATGTACGGAGGTGATGGGGTTGGCGGATCAGGTGCAGGCGGCTCAGTTTTCCCCATGTCCTCATCTCCCCCTGTTTCTGCGCCCCCTGGTCACCCGTACAGATCTCAGGGGCGCGTGTGCGCATGTACGAGGGGCGGGAGGGCGAGAGCGAGCGGGTGGTGGAGGTGGTGGGGTCGGCGGACCAGGTGCAGGCGGCTCAGGCCATCATCCATGCGTTTGTCATCAAAGGCACCGCCGCTGCTGAGAGGCATGCGGAGAGGCGCGAGGCGTACTGATGATGCCTTTAGAGGCGCCTCAGAGGAAGGTGCGGCAGGCGTGGTGAGTGGTGCTTGCATGGATTCATGCTTGGCACGGGGTTGTTTGTGCCATGCATGTTGGGCCGTGGCATGCATGTGGGCCCATGGTATGCATGTGGGGACATGCCATGCATGTGGGGTCATGGCATGGACGTGGGGTCATGGCATGGACGTGGGGTCATGGCATGCACGTGGGGTCATGGCATGCACGTGGGGTCATGGCATGCATGTGGGGTCATGGCATGCATGTGGGGTCATGGATGCACGTTGGGTCATGGCATGCACATGGGGTCATTGCATGCACGTTGGGTCATGGCATGCACGTTGGGTCATGGTATGCACGTTGGGTTATGACATGCACATGGTCTCTACATGAGACCACACGTGCATCCCTCATGCCTGATGTTCCACACCGCATGCCTGATGTTCCACACCGCATGCCTGATGTTCCATACCCTAACTCCCGTGCGTCGTGCTCCACACCCCATATCCCATACCCACCGCATACCCACACCTCATGCCTCATGCCTTGCCTTATGCCTTGCCTCTTGCCTCTAACTGTGTTCCTAACCACACCAAGCCTGGTATTGAACTTGCACCATGCCTCCCATCTTCCATCTGCTTTGCCTCCGTGATGAGGGATTTTGCTTGTTGACGGCCCATTCACTCAGCTCAGCCTCTCTCATCAACAACCCATCCCACTCCATGCCCATGCCCTTATCACTCCACCATGCCTTTTTTTCCCTTATACTTCCCATGCCCATACTTATGCCCATGCCCATGCCCATGCCCATGCCCGGATTACCCTGATCAATCCGCCATGCTTCACTCTGCAGCAACAGAGCCTTGTCAAAGACACAGCCTATCACACCACTCCCTCCTGTCACCGCTCTGGTCTGGACACCCTTGCCTTGACCTGCTCAAGCCTGGCCCTGGGTCGCTAGGGGCATAGCAGTGCCAGGGATGTGCCAATGCCCCTAGAGTCCCAATGCCCATGCCCTCCCTTCTGCTGCACATATCTAGAAACTTGTTGAATAGGACAAGACTTAGCCAAAGAGACAACCCCTAGATGGAAGCTTCTGTGAGCTTCTGTGCCATCACAAGTGAACCTTTGTGGGTGCTTGCTCACAGACTCACTTGTGCTGGGCGTTGTCCCTCTCCGGACTGTATGGTTTTCGTCCAAGCCTTGCGCTGTTTTGCCCTTTTGCTGCTCTCACAACTACCGTACTCGCATCATGTGATCCATTCGTCTGTCATTTCCTTCTGACCGTTTTTGTCACTTTTGAGTCTACTCACAACGCACCCTCTTTTTCTTATGGCCAAACCCATTTGCCACAAGCCTTTCCAATCCAGGAACAGATTGTTCCCAAATATTTATATCAGATGAGTCTTTATTTCTAAGCCCAAATCAAGCCATCTGTGGTTCTTACTTTTAAAGCCAAAACATTTGCCGCCTACCAACCAACTCCAGACAATTTTTGTTTCAGTCATTTCTCTATGTCCAAGCCAAACCAACCTTCCTTTCTCATTCTTTTAAGCCATAAACATAAAACCACGACACGACACGAGCTCCCCTCTATCCATGCAAGTGAGCACATGAGTGGGGCACCCTTCCATCCATGCAATGCAAGTGAACGCATGGCATGAGCCCCATTCTATCCTTGCATGTGAGCACACAAGCCTTGCGTACGGTATTTGCATACGGATGTTTCGAAGTCAGTGTCTACAAGAATGGGCTTGAAGGGAGGTAATTATCGAAGCACCTCGTTTGATTGGCGTTGCCATTCCTCGCAAGCATTAAAGCCCGAGGTCAGCATGGTAAATTTTCAAGTTATGTGGGGTTGAAACAGTCTGGCGAAAATAATAATATCGTGTATTTCGAAAATGTGTGTGGGGCGAAAGCGAATTCAGGAGGCGGGTAAAACAACCTTCGCCACGATACTATGCGACGGCTGTTTCCAAGGATATGGGAGGGCCGAACGACTCTGTGTGTGACAGAGCACTGCTCCAGCCCCACCACTGCTGCTGGCGCTTCTCTTGGGGTTGAAATGGTGGGCAACGCGAAACTCACGCGAGTGAGAGTAAGGCAGTACACTGAACACTATTTTTACAATTTCTAATTTACTAAAATGTCTGGATGCTTTTGAGACTTCACTTCAGAAAAACACAAAATTTGAAGTGCTGAATACCAGTGCAGAAAAGCATTGCAAGCAAATTGTGAATAAGAAAATTGAAATATGAAGTTTTTTGAAAGTGTGTAACACTTTCTAAAAATGTATATTTCGAAAGCGAAGCTGCTTGTAATGCAGCAATGGCAACGGCGAAGTGCTCTACGCTCTTCGCCAACTATATAGCACGGGGTGGAGGCCATTTGGCCTCCGCCCACGTCTTCGTTTGAAATTTCAAATGTCTTATTTCATTCTCGTCCGACGACTTGGCGCTTCCCGCTTTCCTCAGTTTCTCACTTCTCTCATAAAATAGTAGGCATCAACTCAATTGACATGGCACAACGTGTTTCAGAAATGACTTGCGGGCGCACCCGTCCGCATAATAGGCGCGCTTGTTGGGGCTAATAAAGCGACAGCGCCACTGGCGCACGTGGCGACGAAATCGCCACAAGCGCGCGTGGCGACGAAATCGCCACAGGCGCGCGTGGCGACGAAATCGCCACAGGCGCGCGTGGCGACGAAACCGCCACAGGCGCGCGTGGCGAAGCAATCGCCACAGGCGCTCGTGGCGACGAAATCGCCACAGGCGCGCGTGGCGACGAAAACGCCTCAGGCGGGCGTGGCGACGAAAACGCCACAGGCGCGCGTGGCGAAATCGCCAGTGGCGCACGTGGCGTAAAAAATGCCAGCGGCGCAAGTGGCGCCAGTGGCGCTCATGGCGCCGAAATGGTCAAAATCGCCACTGGCGCACGTGGCTACGACATCGCCAGTGGCGTGCAATAACCAGGGGCTCGTCCAGCGGCAGTCGGCACCAGCAGGCTGGCGAAATCTCCAGAGACAAACTGGCATGACATATGCTCTTCTGCTGCTGACATTGTCAGCGGATAACTTATTACCTTGCATATGTTTCCACCTGTTCTTCGTACGCATCTTCGATTTTTGTTTGTCTTCGTTTTTCTCTCGTGTTATTTATTACCTCTGGTCGCAGTAAATCGGTGCGAGGCAACTACCATAGCTTTGGGTCGCCATGAGAGACCATCGGCGAAGAAAGACTGCGGCAAACAATTGGCACAACCCCATGCGCTCCCGTGCGGTGCTGGCCAGCGAGCTCCCCAGGGGGGAGGAGGACCGGTGGGTCCTGTGCGGTGCTGGCCAGCGAGCTCCCCAGGGGGGAGGAGGACCGGTGGGTCCTGTGCGGTGCTGGCCAGCGAGCTCCCCAGGGGGGAGGAGGACCGGTGGGTCCTGTGCGGTGCTGGCCAGCGAGCTCCCCAGGGGGGAGGAGGACCGGTGGGTCCTATGCGGTGCTGGCCAGCGAGCTCCCCAGTGGGGAGGAGGACCGGTGGGTCCTGTGCGGTGCTGGCCAGCGAGCTCCCCAGGGGGGAGGAGGACCGGTGGGTCCTGTGCGGTGCTGGCCAGCGAGCTCCCCAGGGGGGAGGAGGACCGGTGGGTCCTGTGCGGTGCTGGCCAGCGAGCTCCCCAGGGGGGAGGAGGACCGGTGGGTCCTGTGCGGTGCTGGCCAGCGAGCTCCCCAGGGGGGAGGAGGACCGGTGGGTCCTGTGCGGTGCTGGCCAGCGAGCTCCCCAGGGGGGAGGAGGACCGGTGGGTCCTGTGCGGTGCTGGCCAGCGAGCTCCCTAGGGGGGAGGAGGACCGGTGGGTCCTGTGCGGTGCTGGCCAGCGAGCTCCCCAGGGGGGAGGAGGACCGGTGGGCCCTGTGCGGTGCTGGCCAGCGAGCTCCCCAGGGGGGAGGAGGACCGGTGGGTCCTGTGCGGTGCTGGCCAGCGAGCACCCCAGGAGGGAGGAGGACCGTTGGGTCCCTTTCTGGCCTGTGGGCCATTTGTAGGGTAGATTCATGGTTGTGCAATTTAGTTACACTTCTCACACACCTTAGGCTTTGAAAGCCTTCAATTGCAAGGTCCGGATGCGGTTGCACTTGAGTTGGTTGATTGAACAATGTTGTGGTGAGTTTGAAATGGTGCTCAAGTCTAGCAGATCAAAAAAAAAAAAAAAAAAAAAAAATGCACACACATACAAAGGGCTCAAACGCCGGCAGATTTACCGTATCCGGATACAGATGCATGCACTCTTCGTAATGTGAGCACGGTTGTGACTGCTACAAGGGTTGGGCTCCTACAAGCATCACATCCATCATCACACAAAACACCAATGCCCGTTACCCGAGTCCTCCTATACTGCTTGCGAGTTTGTGTTCGAAGCTCACGTGTCAGCCGACTCTCATAAATCAACATTACTGTGCTACACTCGGGGCAACACTTCATCCAAGGCAACAGCAGAGAATACAGCATCACCATCAACATCGGTGCCAGCCTCTCCTTCGTGCGTGATTGGACCTCCACCGACATGTCATCGCATAAGCCACAACCAACCTTTACCATCTCGTTAGCATGACCCCGTCTCATGTCTCAGAAGACCCATTTGAAACGAAGCTCGTTGCCATTGCAAACACAAGAAAGCAAGCTTTCTAAATATGAAGTTTTTTGAAAGTGTGTAACACTTTCTAAAAATGTATATTTCGAAAGCGAAGCTGCTTGTAATGCAGCAATGGCAACGGCGAAGTGCTCTACGCTCTTCGCCAACTATATAGCAGGGGGTGGAGGCCATTTGGCCTCCACCCACGTCTTCGTTTGAAATTTCAAATGTCTTATTTCCCACCCACCCACCCTAGCAAAAATTGCATGTTGTAACTTGTAATGTAGGTACCATATCTAAGTAGGACGAGAATGTTGTAATGCCCATTTGAAACGAAGCTCGTTGCCATTGCAAACACAAGAAAGCAAGCTTTCTAAATATCAAGAAACGCATTACCTATACATTTCGGAAACGCACTCTCTCAAGCTCAGATCCCTCAACTCATAAGGATCTCAGCCGGCCACATATCGACATGCCGTGCTGGTCCCTGCAACACTCTGCACTCCCCCGGCCCACAGCAGCGCAGACCTGACGTGCGCTGCCGCCATCATTTTCTGCCAGCATGGTCTGCCCCCTCCCGCATCAATGCTCCGCGGCATCCTGCTGGGCAGCAGGGGAGGCTGAAGGCAGTTCCGGGAGGAGGGTGCCTCACAGCTCCGCCAGCAAGCCTCAGGGCAGATTCACTCGAAGATCTGCTGGATGCGGTGCTTCGGTGGCCTGCCACGAGGAAGAGGGGGAGCGGAGGGGGAGGGAGTGGGGAGAGAGTGATGCTCATCACTTGTGCCAAGGGATCCAGTCATCGAAGAACTTCTGCATGCGCGTGCGTGTTGCTATGCACCGTGTAGAGAAGGGAAGGGGATGGGGGGAAGCAGGGAAGGGGATGGGGGGAAGCAGGGAGCGGGATGGGGGGAAGCAGGGAGCGGGATGGGGGGAAGCAGGGAGCGGGATGGGGGGAAGCAGGGAAGGGGATGGGGGGAAGCAGGGAAGGGGATGGGGAGAACCAGGGAAGGGGATGGGGGGAGGCAGGGAAGGGGATGGGGAGAAGCAGGGAGCGGGATGGGGGGAAGCAGGGAAGGGGATGGGGGGAAGCAGGGAAGGGGATGGGGAGAAGCAGGGGATGGGGGGAAGCAGGGAAGGGGATGGGGAGAAGCAGGGAGCGGGATGGGGGGAAGCAGGGAAGGGGGTGGGGGGAAGCAGGGAGCGGGATGGGGGGAAGCAGGGAAGGGGATGGGGAGAAGCAGGGAAGGGGATGGGGGGAAGCAGGGAGGGGGATGGGGAGAAGCAGGGAGGGGGATGGGGGGGAGCAGGGAGCGGGATGGGGGGAAGCAGGGAAGGGATGGGGAGAAGCAGGGAAGGGGATGGGGGGAAGCAGGGAGGGGGATGGGGGGAAGCAGGGAGGGGGATGGGGGGAAGCAGGGAAGGGGATGGGGAGAAGCAGGGAAGGGGATGGGGGGAAGCAGGGATGGGGATGGGGGGAAGCAGGGAAGGGGATGGGGAGAAGCAGGGAAGGGGATGGGGGGAAGCAGGGATGGGGATGGGGGGAAGCAGGGAAGGGGATGGGGGGAAGCAGGGAAGGGGATGGGGGGAAGCAGGTGAGGCAAAGGAGAATATATTGGGGGGTAAACGGAGCTGGTGGGAGTGAGGGAGGTTGGTAATAAAAAAAAAGGGGTGTAAACAATTAGGGGGAAGTGAGATCGACAGGGAGAGGGAGTGAGGGGAGTACCCGCTCTCACCCTCTGTCTCTCACTCTCTGGGACACCCCCCCCCCCCCCCTGTTCCCCCCCCTCCGTCCTTCCCCTGCTGTCTCTCCACCTCTGCCCTTCACCTTCTGTCTCTCACTCTCTGCCCCTCCCCCTCTGTTCCTCCCCCTCCGTCCTTCCCCTTCTGTCTCTCCCCGTCTGCCCTTCACCCTCTGTCTCTCCACCTGTGTCCTTCCCCCCGTGTCTCTCCCCCTCTGTCCTTAGCGAAAAAGGGAGGGAGAGAGGGAAGAGAGAGAGAAAGGCAAGAGAGAGAGAAAGGGAAGAGAGGGAGAGGGAGAGAGGGACAGAGGAATGAAGGTCGAGAGCAAGGTAGGGAGGGACGGAGGGAGAGGACGAGAGGGGAGAAGGAGGGATGGAGGGAGGAAGCTTGGGCGAAATGAAGAGGCGGGGGCGACGAGAAGAAGCGCGCGCGGTTGACGAGGAGAAGCGCGCGCGGGCGACGAAGAGAAGCGCGCGCGGGCGACGAGAAAAAGCGCGCGCGGGCGACGAGAAAAAGCGCGCGCGGGCGACGAGCAGAAGCGCGCGAGGGCGACGGTTCAGGGTGCGCGCGCAGGCGACGGGTAGAAGCGCGGGACGGTGGGAAGCGCGGGACGGTGGGAATCGCGGGCGACGAAGGAAAGCGAGAGAGACGAGTGGGAGATATCGTGACCCGAGCAAGTGTGGGAGACGAGAAGAAGTGCGGGTGTCGCTTTTCCGCCAGTCTCACGAGGGTAACGCGCTCTCGTCATACTAAATCCCTTGAGTGTGGCAACTCATGCCATTTACGAGCATTGCTCGTGTCGTGCGCTAGCACGGGTAGCGTCCCTGGCATGCGAAAGAGGTACGGTGAGCGCATGGCTTGAAGTTGTGCTGGTCAGCGATTGGTCAGACAGCGTGAGTGACTCGTGTTGCAAGGAGAAAGTCGCCTTTACTTGAGCTAGCTTCTATCGTCCTGCCGCGCGTTTCCTAGTACTGTCCCTATTCTAGCAGACTAGTACTGCTTGGTCTTCAAGATATGTGAGGTGTGCTCACGGCAATATTGTGGGCGATGGTCGGAGGTGTTGTGCGACTGGGCACGGAAACCAATCAGGAGTGAGGGTCGCAATAGGTTTTCCCTGAGTCGCGAGTTGTTTTTCAAACCAGAGAGGGTTACCCTGTTTTTTGCGACTTCAAGTTCAAGAATCTTGAACTTGAAAAATACCATGTTGTACCCGGGCTTTAAGTTAGGAAGAAGGCGAGCCTGGAGGGGACTTGATTAGATGCTGTGGCCGCACATGCCTGGGAGTTTTATATTGGTGCTAATGTGGTGTGTGTGGTACATGTAAGGGATGTTACAGCTTTCCCAATAACACACGCTCATTGATTAAGATGTTGGAGGGTGTTTTGGTGCAGTAACGAAGTAGGCTTATCCCTATTAGTGCTGTGCTGTTCAGCTATTAATGCTTAAAGTTTTTCAATTGACAATCTGACCGCCTTCACTGTACGCTAGCCTAAACCGTTCAAGAAGAACCGCTACTACCGGAGACGCAAATCTCGATATACACATTTCAACTTCTGGGAATCTCAAGGGCACACATCAGCTCGCACATTCCGAATTGTACAGCCATGGCGTCGGATCACGAGATTCCGCTCCTCCCGTCTCCGTCGTCCCGTCTCTCTCCCTCCTCGCGCGCGCATCCCACGAACATTGCGGGAGACTCGAGCCGAAATTGCCGCGCCCGCCGGCACACTGCGTGGGTGTCGTTCACCCTCGCAGCCGCGCTGCTCCTTCTCTTGCTTGAGCTCGAAATCCTTCCCCTGCCTTCGTACCACTCGCATTCGTACACGTCTGAGTCTGACGTGGCTCATTCTCAGCCACGTGGCCCCGCGGAATCGCGCAGTCTAGAATCCGAGTTAGCTTCCTACGCGAATTCGTATGAAAGTAATTTCGCTCGTTCCGGTCGTTTTCATAAAGGAGAGATTGCTTCTAGCGAAAGCCTGATCGCGGAGGAATGGCGCAAGCGGGTTGCGCAGCTCCCCCGCCTGCGCGCGGAGCAGAGGCACGCGCGGAAGGCGCAAAGGCATGGGGGGAAACCGCCTGGCGATGGCGCAGCGGGGAGCGGAATAGAAAGCGTGGGGTTGCGCCTGTGGCCCATGCCGGCGGATATAGCGGCGGAAGGAAGCGGAGAGGTTGTAGTCAGTCCGAACCTGAGGCTCGACATTAGCTTCGGCGAAGTGCCGAGCCTGCTAAACGGGAGAAGGAGGGAGGAGAATGCGGAGGTGCTGCGACGCGCATTCGAGCAGTACCTTGGGATCATCTTCGCCCATGACTATTCGCGGCGGCGCGGCGGGCAGAGGAATGGCGGCTCGGAGAGGCGCCGGCTGAGGGGAAGAAACGCGGCGGGAGGGGGATGGAAGGCGGAAGGGGGAGGAGACGAGGCGGAACGGAAGTGGGGGGAAACAGGGGAAAAGGGGGAAGAGGAGAAGGGGAAGGGAGAGGAAGTGGAGGAGGGGGAGGAGGGAGTTACGGTGATGGAGTGGGTGCGAGTGCATGTAGAGGACGCAGAAGCAGAGGTGAGAGTGGGTGAGAGTGGGTGCGAGTGGGTGAGAGTGGGTGAGAGTGGGTGAGAGTGCATGTGGAAGTCGCGGAGGCAGAGGCGAGAGAGGAGCACGGCTTTTGTCCGTGTGCTCATACCAATGATCCATGCACTTATCCTCTATTGTAATTTGCTGCGTTCAGTCTGAGTTGGTATTGCCTCACATCTGAATCAGCAGTGCCTCACATCGCATGGCATGGCATGTCATGGCATGGCATGGCGTGACATGGTGTGATGTGATGATGAGTCATGTGCGCACTGGCTGTGCACTAACTGACTCGGAGGTAGTTGGGGAAATGCATTGCATCACATCATGTGGCATGGCACGACTTGACATGGCATGGCATGGCATGGCTTGGAATGGTGATGCGTGCAGCTGCACATGGGAGTGGACGAGAGCTACGACCTATCTATCCCGCATGCCTCGCCAGCACCACATCATGATGTTGATGCTGCTCATGGCTCTGATGATGGCAACCCAGCTGCACGCCATGGGCATGCCACCACGCATGCCACCATTCGGGTCAGTACTCACTGCAGTGCGTAATGTGCCATGTGCCATGTGCTAATTGCTCTTCTTATCACCTCTTCTCATGTTCTGCTGTGTTCATCCCACGCCCCTTCCTTCCATGCATGCACGTGCACCTGTCCGTTTGTCTGTTTGCCTATCTGTCTGCCCATCTGCAGGCCAACACCACGACCGGAGCACTGCGAGCACTAGAGGTGAGCCCGATTCGCCGGCACATGAATACGCTCACCTCTAGAGCCCGTCCTTAACACGTCACAAACGGCCTAGCCTAGATATGAGTCTCAGTGCTTGCTCTCATCATCTGCTCATCCCACCTCCGTTTGTAGTCATGCGTGCGTCTTGGCAACTCCTCAAGTACACCAAAAGCACAGCACTCTCGTCTTTCTTCCCGCCCCACTCTTATCCGTTAAAGTGCCCCTCCTTCCCTTCTCCCACTCCCAATCCTTCTCCCCACAATGTGCCCTTTTCCTGCCGGTCCCCCTTTCACCCCTTCATTCAATTCCGCGTTCCTCTTTTTCCCTCCTCCCCTCGTCCCCTCTGTCTCCCTGCGCCCACAGACCCTCGCCCAGCTCTGTGTCTTTGACTTCCTCGCTCGCCTCGTCACCATCAGGGGCTCGCCCCTCCTCATCCGCGATGGCCCCCGCTTTCACCACCGCGGATTGCTCATAGGCAAGTGGTGCTCGGGACTTGACCCTCTCCCCTCTGAAGGTTACGATTCATCCGATCTTCCTTCATTGCGGCCTACCATCCTGTTTCACCGGATGAAAGATTGGTGGCATGCGATTCCTACCATCCCCTTACTCCCATCGTCCCCGCATCCCACCATTTGTTGGGCCCACCAGACACGGCGCGACACTTCCTGCCAGTGCCAGTGATGGAGAGGGTTATCGACTCCATGGCCTATGCCAAGCTGAACGTGCTGTGAGTCATGCCATGGATGCATGACATGACATGGGTGCATGACATGGGTGCATGACATGGGTGCATGACATGACATGGGTGCATGACATGGGTGCATGACATGGGTGCATGACATGGGTGCATGACATGGGTGCATGACATGGGTGCATGCCATGGGTGCATGACATGGGTGCATGACATGGGTGCATGACATGGGTGCATGACATGGGTGCATGACATGGGTGCATGACATGGGTGCATGACATGGGTGCATGCCATGGGTGCATGACATGGGTGCATGACATGGGTGCATGACATGGGTGCATGACATGGGTGCATGACATGGGTGCATGACATGGGTGCATGACATGACATGGGTGCATGACATGGGTGCATGACATGGGTGCATGACATGGGTGCATGACATGGGTGCATGACATGGGTGCATGACATGGGTGCATGCCATGGGTGCATGACATGGGTGCATGACATGGGTGCATGACATGGGTGCATGACATGGGTGCATGACATGGGTGCATGACATGGGTGCATGACATGGGTGCATGCCATGGGTGCATGACATGGGTGCATGACATGGGTGCATGACATGGGTGCATGACATGGGTGCATGCCATGGGTGCATGACATGGGTGCATGACATGGGTGCATGACATGGGTGCATGCCATGGGTGCATGACATGGGTGCATGCCATGGGTGCATGACATGGGTGCATGACATGGGTGCATGCCATGGGTGCATGACATGGGTGCATGCCATGGGTGCATGACATGCATGCATGCATTCAACGTGCTGTGAGTGCTGTGAGTGCTGTGCGTCAGTGCCTGTGATGGAGAGGGTTATCGACTCCATGGCGTGTGCCAAGCTCAACGTGCTGTGAGTCATGCCACTCATTCACACCAGGTGTTCATGCCATGCGTTTAACGTGCTGTGAGTGGATATGGTGAAATCACTTTTGAGAATTCTCAAAAGTCTTAACGTGCTGGGAGTGGATATGGTGAAATCACCCCAACCACCAAGCACTGGCATATGCCATCACCTGCATCAATCGCCCGCATCCTTCATCACCTGGCTGGAAATTGCTCGGCGCCCCTCTCCCATTAACTTCACTTCTGGCTGGGCACCTCAAAAGCTGTCCTACATCACCGGGTTTTGAGACGTCTCAGAACGCATCTCAAAGCACGACAAGAGCAGTTCTTTGTCATCGGGCTAGAAATACATCCGTGCCCCTCTGCAACCTCCTCCCCCCCCACCAGGCACTGGCACATGGTGGACACACAGTCCTTCCCCATCAAGACGCCCTCCTTCCCTCGCCTCTGGCTCGGAGCCTTCTCTCCCTCTGAGCGCTACACCACTGATGACATGCGCCACATCGTGCAGTCAGTACCTGCTTCTCCCTGTTCCTTCGCTCTCTCCCATTTCTCCTGCCCGCCTGCCTGACTGTCTCCTCACCTCCTTGTGCTTCTATTGCTCTTCTGCCTCCTCGCTTTCTTACCAGACACCTCCGCCGTCCCTCTCTCTCTCTCCCGTGCAGTTACGCAGAGGACAGAGGAGTAATGGTAGTGCCTGAAATCGACTCCCCAGCACACGCAGCCTCATGGTGACCATCTCTGCCTTCGTCCCCTTAGCCAGGCGGTCTTATCTTAGCGCGGTGCTCTTAACACGGTGCTCTGCTGATATCGGGGTTTTCTTGTTGAGACCCCGCTGTGCTGAATGTGGTGCGGCCATTGCCGGATGCATCATTCCTTGACACCACCGACCAAGTCACCAAGTGCTCTAGTGCTTCCATGAGTGCCATGAGTGCCATGAGTGCCATGAGTGCTATGAGCACGTCCCATTCAGCATCCATCCCGCCAATCCCACCCCAGCAGCCATTCCTTTAGCGCGCTTCCATTCCTTCCCATCTACAGAGATTCACTTCCGTTTTCCCCGGCGTTTCTCTCCATTCTTTGCCCCCCTTCCTTCTCTGTTCCCCTGCCTCCCCTCTCAGGGGAGTGGGCTATCCATCGCTCCTGCCAGCTGCCAACTGCCCCGAGCCTCTCGATGTCTCCAAACCCTTCACCTTCCAACTTATCAAAGGGGTGCTGCAAGGTATGTGTGTGTGTGTGCGTGCAAGGTATGTGTGTGTGTGTGCGCGCGCAAAGTATGTCTGTGTGTGCGCGCAAGGTATGTGTGTGTGTGCGCGCAAGGTATGTGTGTGTGTGCGCGCAAGGTATGGATGCTCTGCACCTCTGTAAGACTCGAAACTTTGTCTTCTCCAAGTCAACAACAGCTGCTGCAAGGTGCATGCGGAGCCGTTTTCAACACTTGTGTCCAACACTTGCCCTGTTCCGCCACTCCCCTTTGTACCTACTCCTGCTCCACCAGACCTCCGAGCCGTCTTCAAGAGCTCTCACATTCACCTGGGGGGCGACGAAGTCAGCTTTGGTGCGCACGCACACACATGCACGCACGCACACGCGCGCGCGCACACACACACGCACCTCTTCCTTATCATCCTCTATACCTACCTCCTCTTCATCTCTTCGCAACGTCTCATCATGGCTACTTGCACCGTTCCAATCTACACGATGTTGCTGCTGCTCTTGCTGTTCCTTATCGCCCTTTATGCTGCCACTTCCCCCTTGCTCCTTCTTGTTCTCTTGCTCCTGCGACGTCTCATTGTCCTCCCCATCCCCAACTTCCTCCCTCTCCCCCATCGTCGCTTCCGTCTCCTCCTCCCGCCCTCCCTCCTCGCATCAGACTGCTGGAATTCATCTCCCGCCATAAGTGCATGGTGAGTTGCTGACCTGTGAGCTGGTGCACTGACCATGGACGGACGCTCATTGCAGGCTGTTGTCAGATTTGCCTTGCTTTGAGTCGACTCAAAACTGAGTCGACTCAAAACAAGGTGCGCTGGCCATGAACGAACACTCATTGCAGGCTGTTGTCAGATTGTCAGAAACACCCTCCCTCCGCGCATCAGAGTGTTGGGATTCATCTCCCACCATAAGCGCACGCTGAGCCGCTGAGATGTGAGATGTGAGCTGCTGCGCTGATGGTGGATGAACGTTGGTTGGACCTTCTTCTGTCGAATGTGCGCTTGGACTAAAATATCAGGGCACCTCACTCTCCCACATCCCCGCACTCCCACATGGCTGCAGCACATTCAAGACTAAGCACCTTTCAAACATCTTCACAAGTCAACCCTACCTGTTCCTGGCATGCAATATCCCCCTCCTCCCCTTCCCCCACTCTTCCAGGCTGCAGCAGCGCAACCTGACAGCAGAGGGCGGCTATGGGTACTTTGTGAGGCGAGTGCAGGCATTGGCCGTGGAGGCTGGATGGCAGACCGCTGTCATTTGGTGAGTCCCACCCTCCTCTCGTCCCCACACTTGCCCCATCTCCTTCCACCCATCTCCTTCCACCCATCTCCTTCCAAAAATCTCCTTCCACCCATCTCCTTCCAAAAATCTCCTTCCACCCATCTCCTTCCACCCATCTCCTTCCACCCATCTCCTTCCACCCATCTCCTTCCACCCATCTCCTTCCACCCATCTCCTTCCACCCATCTCCTTCCACCCATCTCCTTCCACCCATCTCCTTCCACCCATCTCCTTCCACCCATCTCCTTCCACCAATCTCCTTCCACCCATCTCCTTCCACCCATCTCCTTCCACCCATCTCCTTCCACCAATCTCCTTCCACCCATCTCCTTCCACCCATCTCCTTCCACCCATCTCCTTCCACCCATCTCCTTCCACCCATCTCCTTCCACCCATCTCCTTCCACCCATCTCCTTCCACCCATCTCCTTCCACCCATCTCCTTCCACCCATCTCCTTCCACCCATCTCCTTCCACCCATCTCCTTCCACCCATCTCCTTCCACCCATCTCCTTCCACCCATCTCCTTCCACCCATCTCCTTCCACCCATCTCCTTCCACCCATCTCCTTCCACCCATCTCCTTCCACCAATCTCCTTCCACCCATCTCCTTCCACCCATCTCCTTCCACCCATCTCCTTCCACCCATCTCCTTCCACGCACCGTCTTCCCGCATCACCCGAGTTTGTCCCCCACTCTCCTTGTCTCTGCCCCACTCTCCTCGCCCTGACACCTCTGCCCCACTCTCCTCGCCCTGACACCTCTCCCCCACTCTCCTCGCCCTGACACCTCTCCCCCACTCTCCTCGCCCTGACACCTCTCCCCCACTCTCCTCGCCCTGACACCTCTCCCCACTGCCATCCTGCATCCTCCTCCTCCTGTCCCTCTGAGTGCATGCTCTCACCACGTGCTGTCACCACGTGCTGTCACCACGTGCTGTCACCACGTGCTCTCACCACGTGCTCTCACCACGTGCTCTCACCACGTGCTCTCATCACACATGCTCTCACCAAATGCACTCACCCCTCTCACCGCATGTGGGCAGGGAGGAGCCATTCTAGGTGTTTGGCGCACACCTGGATCCAGCCACCACCATCGTTCATCCTCCTTCTCCTGTCTCCCTCCCCACCCCACATGCTTGCACCACACACTCTCCCCACACACTCTTTCCACACACTCTCCCCACACACTCTCACCACACACTCTCGCCACACACTCTCACCACACACTCTCCCCACACACTCTCACCGCATGTGGGCAGGGAGGAGCCATTCAAGGTGTTTGGCGCAGACCTGGATCCAGCCACCACCATCGTTCAGAACTGGTGGGTGTGGGGTGGGGCAAGGGATATATAGGCGTTCATCTTTGGCACTTAGCCATGTTTGGTGCCAACCTGGATCCAGCCACAACCATAGTGCAGAACGGGTGGGTGAGCTGGGGGACGGAAGGGTGCCTGAGTCAGCATGTGTGGTGTTACCACTGCCAACATGCACAACTGGTGGGTGTATGGTACGGAGAGGGGCGGGTGGGGAGCGTTCCTCTCCCCATCTTCTCCCCATTCCTCCCTGTTTCCCCTTCCACCCATGGCAGGTTTGACACCGCTCTGCCGCCCGCAATTGTGCAGTCTGGATTCCGTATGATCTTCAGCAATCTCAACCGCGGCTGGTACCTTGACTTTGTTGACCGCACGTGGAGTGAGGTGAGTCAACGCGAGTCAACAGGGATCAGAGGGGGTCAACGGGGGTTAGGTGTGACAGGACTGGTACCTTGACTTCCACAATTGCACCTTACCTTAAGGTTCCGCAATTGTCTCCTCACCTTACAGTTCAACTTGAACCCCAATCGCTCTGTATTTCTCCTTCTCCTATGCTCTGCTCTGTTGCGCTCAGGTGTATTCTCAGGAGCCGACAGCAGGGATACCAGAGGAGCTACAGCACCTGGTGGTGGGCGGCGAGACGTGCATGTGGGGGGAGAGGGTCGACCCGTCTGACCTGCTCAACACTGTGTGGCCGCGTGCTGCCGCTGCTGCAGGTGAGAGTGGGATGAGGTTGCTGCTGTTGAGGTGATTATTGCTGCTGGTGAGATAATTATAGGTCGACTCAACACTTGCCCTTCTGACTTGCTCAACGCACTGTGGGGCCGCGCGCCGCTGCTGGTGAGGTCATGCTGCTGCTGCTGCTGCTGCTGCTGCTGGTGAGATGGGGATGCTGGAGTTGCTTCAAGAGAGATTTCGGTGGTGCTAGAGGGATGGCGACTTTCTCCTCCTCACACCCCCCTCTCTCTCCCTCTCCCCACTCAGAGCGCATCAGCCCCTGAGCATGCATGGACTCGCATCTCTCGCAACGCTGACACGCCTGCACATGTTCAGCTGCCTGCTCATATCCCTCATTCCCTCTCTGTGTTTCCCTCCCCCTCCCCTCACAGAGCGCCTATGGCCCCCCCGAGCATATGTGGACTTGCATCTCCCTCAGGCCCACACACGCATTCACATGTTCCGCTGCCTTCTCACATCCTCCCTTTCTACCCATCCGCCTCCCTCCCTATCTGTCTCCCTCTCTCCCGCGTCCCACTCAGAGCGCCTGTGGTCCAACCAGGCGTATGTGGAGTCGCATCTCTCAAACGCACTCGACCCCACTTGCGCCTGCACATGTTCCGCTGCCTGCTCGCGTCGCTCCATTCCTCCCATCTCTCTCTGCCTCTATCTCCCTCCCCCTCCCGGCACAGAGCGGCTCTGGTCCCCCCAGGCATATGTGGACTCACATCTCTCTCAGGCGCACACGCGCCTGCACATCTTCCGCTGCCTGCTCACATCCCGCGGCATAGAGGCTGCTCCAGTCGACAATGCCCACGCGCGCTCCCAGCCCCCCTTCCCAGGCAGCTGCTATCGCCAATAAGCGCATCAACGTGTGAAGAGAGGTGCCTAGTGATTCCCGAGGTGCAGCATGCTTTCCAGCCACTGCTACTGGCTGCTCTGTGTTGCTTGAGTTTGACTAGTGCTGGCATGTTAGTATTTAAGCCTTTGGAATTGTTGTAACTGGAGCTACGAGGCTGGCTTGGTCAGAGCCGATGCGTTGTCTCCATGCAATCGCGATGCTGCACAGCTTTCTGGCCAGTGCCGTTGGCTGTTCTATGTTGTCTTAGGTTGAAGCTTGAGGTTGACTAGTGTGATTACCGGTACCGCATGTGAGTCTTTAGGATTGTTGTGGTCACTGGAGCTATGATGCTGGTTGGAGCACATGCGCTGTCTCCATGCAAACGTGGACTGCAAGCAATTTCCCCTTTATCACGCTTTGAATGTACCGATGCAAGTTGGATAATGTAACCTCGACGCCAATATTATCTCTAGCTACCCTCATGTACGGTACATCCCTACCTACCTAACTTCCTCATGTAGGTATATGCCTTCACTGTATGATGCATTATTCACCAATTGAATGTAATGTCATTTTTTATGCAAAGCATAACAATGATCAATGCATAAGAACAATGACATGTTTCATTGCCAGCTACTACTGGTACAGGCATGTTTAGGGCGGGTCCAACTTTGTACACTCCGGTTTTTTTTCCGTAAATGTTACGTCATTGCACTTGTCAAATTTGACTGTACCCCAGGGCGTACTCCTAACATTTTCTGTCCAGTTCGGAATGTACAGTTCGGACTTTTGACGAGGTACATTAACGTTGCGAGATACAGTACTTGGGTTGGGGGGTACCGAATATCTCGAGGGTTACCGCACCTGTGGCGGAGGGGGGAATTCAATGGCGAATAATATTTGGCGAAAGACGGGCGTTACTGTTTGACGTGTTTGACACGAAACGAGTTGGGAGACGAACTGGCGGTGAACCTTCAGATGTGTTTCGCACGTCCCGGGGCACGTTTCAGAAATGTCATCATATATGTACAGTCTCACGTCAAATGGATTCAGTACGTTCAAAAGTTCTGTTACATGCCTAAATGTGGTAACTGAGATGTATATTAACCGTACGTGTACAAAGTTTGACCCGCCCTTACTAACACAAAGGGCTTGCAAAAAAAAAAACAAAACAAAAACAAAAACAAAAACAAAGGGCTTGCAAACCAGAGTGGTTGAGCTACCGTATTTATGCTGCCAAATTGAATTATTTCAGTGAAGCAATTATATTGCTGTGATAAACAGCATGAAATCAAAGCATTAAATGGTAGTAGTTTAGAATATTGAATAGAATGTAGGACAGTGGATAATAAAATACCAAATGTGTCCAGAAAGGTTTGTGAGAAACCAGTCTCGCAAAAAAGGACAGCATCTACAGTCGCAACGAACAGTTAGTGTTGTGCACTTCAAAGGTGTTCGCAGGTTTCGCTTGCTCGTTGTGGAAACGTTTCCGCGCTGCCACCAAGACTTTATGTTACTGTACATGTGCTTGGTGGGCACCAATGCAGATCTCTAGAACCACGTGAAAGTCTCCACAATTTCCTCTTAGTTCCCCGACGTGAACCCCAGATCGGCCAATGCCCCAGCCAGAAAGACAAGCAGGAGCCACAGAATTTCGAGGCGTTTAACCTTGCACCATATGACAGCAGTTTCCATGTCTATCGTTCTACCGACAAGGCTTGCTTGACCCTCAGTGGCACTAAGTGCTTCTGTTGCTACATTACTGTCAGTTTCACCCTGAAATATGTGTTCCACTCTCCGTTTATGCCTCAGTGGCAGGATGAACAGTATCAATGCACCCCGAAATGTACAGAACTGTACAACCAGCCCTTTCAAGCAACCCATCCAACCAAGCCACACCACTGCAGAAATCGCGAGGTGGAGCAGAAAGAGCCAAGAAGCGGGGGTGCGTGGATGGTGTTGGCAAAGGCTGGCCAGACCGCTCAGTTTTGTTTCAATGTGCTGTTGATACGATCCCAACTTCATGCATGCATGTTTTTTCCGGAAAAGAGAAAGAACCACAATATTTGACAAGAGAAACTCTTAGGCTTCAACTCGCGTATATTGCACGTAGTTGTGGCTCAAGACTATGTGATGTCCAAACTTGATCACTTTTGCCATTCCAATCCGTCCATATCAGAACCCATCCAATTTGGACAACCAGCACCGAACCAGATCCTGAAACCTGCTGGTCATTGTTCCTCCTAATCTGTCAGAGTGTACTGTACTGTTCAGCGTGCTTGGATCAAAACAAATAAAACACAGCAAGCGGACGACCATCACCACCTCTTGCTCCGACAACCGCGTCCGCGCGGGCAGCATATTGCGCCGTTCCGCCTGTGCGCAGCAATGCACTCACTGATCATATCGCGCAGGCCATCTTTCGCGGCGTCGGGCCACTGCGCGGAGTTCCCCACCCCACCCAAACCATTGATCGTGAGCATGCTTGCATGTGTTGTTTTGTAGCCATTCATATTGATTTGGGAAAGTATATCCCAGCTCTTGACTTTCAGATTTCTCTCATATTTAGCCCTAGGTTTACTAAAAAAGCACCACTTTCTAGAATTTCTCTCACGCGAGGCCCAAAGTATGTTCAAAACTGGTCCTGCGGGGCATTTTTTCGAAACGTGTCCTCTTGTTACACCATCTGACACACTTCCACGCATTGGAAAATTTGGACGGGGGCAAAAAACATAAAACCCCTAGGGAACCGGGACACATTCGCGGGAGAGATCATCCCTAAACACCTAGCAGGTCCCGTGTTTAGGGTTGATCCCTCCCGAAAATGTGTAGTGGTCCCCTAGGGGTTTTATGTTTTTTGTCCCGTCAAAACGTTTCCGGCGCGAAAATTGCACTGACAAACGGTTAGTTCAGAGTGGAAGTGCGTCAGATGGTTACAAGAAGACACGTGTCGAAAACTTGGCCCCGCAGGACCGGTTTTGAACATACTTTGGGCCTCGCGTGAGAGAAATTATAGAATGTGGTGCTTTTTGAGTAAACCTAGGGCTAAATATGAGAGAAATATGAAAGTCAGGAGCTGGGATATACTCTCCCTATTGATTTTCATATTTTCGCCTACCATAACGTTTTTCTCATTCTAGCAGAACTGTAAGGAAAAACTCTTTTTCCTTACTTCGCATCCCTGCTCAACGCGTACATCACTGTAGCACCACAGTCAGCACCGTTACCACTCGCAATCCTCGCATCGACAATTCACCCGCCAACTTCGCACGTCGCACCCCGACCTCACGGCTCGGCGGGTAACCCACGCTCCGGGCCTCCGCTTCGACACTTTTCCCAACCTCAGTCCCAGGCCCGTCGCGCGACAACCACAGTCCATTACCGTTACCACTGTAGTTTCGCCGCCTTCAGGAATTCTATTTGGAGACTTTCGTGATCCAATTCAGGACTTTTCACCTATACATTCTCGTTCTCATATGCGTAGTACGTCTGTTCTCGCTTCTCCACGATTGCTGCACAAATTCTGCCAGAATTTGGAATCAGCAGTTAAAGACCTTTCAAACAAATTCAAGCTTCTGTTTGCAATTTTGAGATATTTTTGTTTTCCACATTTGGAAATGCCGACTGACGACGTGCCTATTACAGCTTACAAGTGGAAGAAATATGGACACAAAGTCCTTTCGTCCCATCAAGACGGCAAACGGTTAGTGAAGTCACATTTGTTTTTATTTGATAAAAAAAACTTTTATATTTAGCAAACTACGCGGGTTTATACAGAAGAGTGGGGGTTCTCGCGCAATGCTTGGGTCCAATCCTGTGGAGAACAGGTATTGACATTGTCTGCTGAACCGTTTGTGATTTATTTCGAAGTAGAAGTATCATGGAAGCGCTGCTCCAAATAAGGCTATATCATACGTTTTTCTTTTTTCTTTTTTCATGGTAATTTCTTAGTCAACCCGCCGTCTGTTCCACCTACTACTAGGTTTGGCGAACGCTCGCACTGTGTCTCGCGTTCGAGACCGCTTTGAAGTGTCCCAAAGAACGTTCTGCTGTTTCTTGGCTCAAATTTCGGACTTCACTATTCGAGATATAGTCACTGGTTACATAAGGTCAAGACCGCTACTATCTGTTTCTTTTTTTGTTCTTTTTTTTCTTCTTTTTTTTTTCCCAACGCAATCGTTCTTGTCGTGTCAATGATATTGTGTCATGCAGATTCTACTACGCGTGCGCAGCAAAAGACACGCTGGGATGCCCAGCCAAGCTGGTCGTGGATAAGGTTCCGATCCAACGCAGCATCAGCAGCAGCACCACAGCTACTGGCGTCAGCACCACGGGCCTCAGAGCGCGGAGGGTTGAGATGCGAGCGAGGCGCCTGACTGCCAAGAACAAGCACAATCACCCGCCTCCTCCTGCTGACTCCGACAGCCCATCGTCATCATCATCCCCCCCTCCCACTGCCACCACCAGTGCCACTGCCAATGCTGCTCCCACTGCCTCTGCCTCCGCCTTTGCCGCTGCTGCCACTGCCACCACTGCCACTGCGAGCCAGCGTCTGCCTGTTCAGCCTGGGGAGGAGTTTCCCCTCTCAGTTGCTCACACCGGAGACATTACCCCGCCTAGCAGCCGCAGCACTCAAGCCAACCCTAGTAGGAAACGCCGCTCTCCTGATGTTACCACCACCACACCCCCGCCTCAAGGGTCGCTCCAATTCCCAACACTTGGCGGATCGCCCTTCTTGAATTCGGGGGCAGTCTGTGCGGCAGCTGCAGGAGCAGGAGCAGGGGCAGGGGCAGGGGCAGCGGCAGGGGCAGGAGCAGGAGCATCATTATTAACCAGAGCAGCAGGAGTAGGAGCAGCAGGAGCAGCGGCGGAGGAAGAAGAAACAGCGCCGGTTAAAAGGCCCCAGACCAACTGTCTTCCGGAGCGGCACCGCCGTACTACTTTCACCACACCTGTGTCACAAAGCCCACCTGTCGCCTCTGAACCTCCTCAAAACCCTCCCTTGGCCTCCGGAACCTTCACAAACCCTCCATCGGGCTCTCAACCTTGCCCCGACTCAGCACTAGCGTTCCAGGGTGCCGGTTCTAACGCCTTCCAGGCTCTGCCATTGGGATTGCAACCCCCTTTGAGATTGCAGCCCCTCTCGAGTTCTCAGCTTTCCGGCGCACGAGATTCCCTCTTGAATGCTCTTGCAACCGATCCTCGCATGCTCTCAAAGCTTCTTGCCTCCCAAGAGGTTCATGCTGGCGTGAATTCAAGGTCCGCTCATATCGAGCTTGGCCAATTATGTTCTCATGCGTGGTTTCAGGGTGTTCCTTCAGGTGCTCCGTTAGGTGCTTGGTCAGGTGCTCCTTCAGGAAGTCCTTCAGGTGGTCCTTCAGGTTTTCCTTCAAGTGTTCCTTCAGGTGCTCCCTCAAGCGCTACTTCATGTATTCCGTCAGGTATTCCTTCAGGTGTTCCTTCAGTTTCTCAACCAGGTTCTCCTCCCAGCGCTCCTTCAGTTCTTCGTTCAGGTGACTGTTCAGGTTCTGCCTCGGTCAGCCTCGCTGGTGTCCTCTCAGGTGTAATTTCAGGTGCTTTTCAAGGTGGAACTTCAGGAGCTCCAGCCTCATTGCACCAGCTATCCAGGGGTAGATCTTCTCTCACCTGCACTGACAGAAGAACGCACTCTGATCCACAAGAGGCCCCTGGAAGGGCTCTGGTAGCAGTGAAGCAAGAGTGGAGCGGGGACAGCAGAGAGGGAGGGGGTCCCGTGGCACGACGAATAAGGTCGTATTCAGGACACCCTGCCTCAGATTTCCCAACAGATTTTCCAACAGACCTCCCAACAGACGCAACAACTCTTGCTTCGGATCGCCGCGAATCAGACCCCATGGAAAGGCCTCTGAGAGACGAAGGGCGGCTGATGCACCTGCAGAGGGAACAGACCCGACAAATGGAGCAGGCCCGACAGCGAGTCTACAGGGGTGAAACCACATGTGGTACTTTCAGGCAATCGCTGCCACGCGATAGCTCATCTCATAGTCTTTCGGGTGAAAAACACATACGTGGAGGAAGCTGTAAGGCAGATGGTGGCTTCAATTATTTCGCTTCAGGTGAAAAGAACAATCCAGATGAAAGGAGCATACCAGGTGAAAGGAGCAGCCCAGGTGAAAGGAGCATACCAGGTGAAAGGAGCATACCAGGTGAAAGAAGCAGACCAGGAGGTAATCCCGGAACTCAAAAGCAGCACCAGCAGCAGCAACATCAGCAGCATCACGCCAGCAGCACCATGGGTGGGAATGCGGGCAAGTCGGCTTCCCACCTTCGCCTGTGCGACTGGGACGACCATGATGTTGTTGACCATGCAGCTCATGCTCCTGCTGCTGCTGTTCCTGCTCATGCTCCTGATGCCGCTGCTGCTGCTGCTGCTGGTGTTGCTGTTCCAGCTTCTGCTGCTGCTCCTGCTCCTGTTTCTACTGTTGGTGCTGCTGCTCATGGTGCTGGTGCTGGTGCTGCTGTACCGGCTTCTGCTGCACCTGCTGCTACTACTACCAAGCCTGCTGGTGCTGGGGGTGATCGAGGTGATGCTGGTGGCGGTGGTGCTGCTGCTGTTGCTGCTAATGTTGCTGGAGGGAAGGCTGTGCAAACCGGAGAAGGTGCTGACGTGGCAGATTGCGTGCCACGTGGCATTCATGCAGGAGGAGCAAGCGGAGGAGGAAGACCATCATCGGGCATCAAGGCCGAACCAGAGTCACTGCCTCCTCTCAGCTCACCTCGTGCTAGCAATGCCACTCTTTCTACCAGCGCCACCCTTGCTAACAGCACCGCTTTTGTAAACAGTACCACTCTTGCTAACAGTAGCAGTTCTCTTGCAAGGATTGCCGCTTTTGCCAGCAGTGCTCCTTTTGCTGGGCTGCCTGCTGCAGGAACAGGGGCAGGAACAGCAGGAGGAGCAGCAGTAGCAGGAACCGGAGAAGTAGCAGCAGCATCAACAATTGGAGGAGGAGGAGGAAGAGGAGGAAGAGGAAGAGGAGGAGGAGGAGGGGTAGCAGCAGGAGCAGCAGCGTCAGTAACAGAACCATCCCCTCCGGACGCATCAAGGCCATCTGCAAGAATGAGAGGAAATGCAGGAGTGAGGGACAGTGGGGGTGCAGGAACAGCAGGAGGAGTAGCAGTAGCAGGAACTGGAGAAGGAGCAGCAGCGTCAGTAGCAGAACTATCCTCTGATGCTTCAAGGCCGTCTGCAAGAATGAGAGGCAGTGCAGGAGTAAGAGACAGTGCGGGGGTGAGTGGCAGTGCGGGAGTGAGGGGCAGTGCAGCAGTGAGTTTTGAGGCACCTCAAGGCTCGGGGTTGAGTGGCTGTGCGGGGGTGAGTGGCAGTGCGGGGGTGAGTGGCAGTGCGGGGGTGAGTGGCAGTGCGGGGGTGAGTGGCAGTGTGGGGGTGAGTGGAAGTGTGGCAGGGAGTGGCAGTGCGAGGATGAGGGGCAGTGCAGCAGCGCATGGCACGCCATGGCAACGCCTCCACGCCTGCTTCTCCACCTCCTCCCCTCTGCACACCCTCCTCGCTCCCCAACCTCCCGCTCCCCAACCTCCCGCTCCCCAACCTCCCGCTCCCCAACCTCCCGCTCCCCAACCTCCTGCTTCCCAACCTCCCACTTCCCAACCGCCCGCGCCCCAACCTCTTGCCGCTCCCCAACCTCTTGCCGCTCCCCAACCTCTTGCCGCTCCCCAACCTCTTGCCGCTCCCCAACCTCTTGCCGCTCCCCAACCTCTTGCCGCTCCCCAACCTCTTGCTGCTCCCCAACCTCTTGCCGCTCCCCAGCCTTTCTCTCTTCAAACTCTCGCTGTTGATCCCGCCCCTGTCTCCCAACCCAACCACCCTCCTTCCAACCATCCTACCACCACCCACCCACCCGTCACCCACCCTCCCGCCATCAACTTTCCTGCCAACCACCCGTCCCCCAACCACCCTACCACCATCCTCCCTCCTGCCAACCATTCGCGTTTTAACCACCCACCCGCCAACCACCTCCCCCCAAACCACCTTGCTCCCAACCACTCTTCTTCACTCATAAAATCGCCCCAAACCCCTGCTGTGCCCCCTTCTCTGTTCGCGTCCCTCTCTGCTGCTGCCATCATCGCTGCAGCTGCGGCTGCTGTTGCCGCTTCTGCTTCTGGTGGTGCCTCTCCCCTCTCGGCCCCTGGTCTTACCCTCCCTCTCCCCACTCTTCCTCCACCACCTCCCGCTCGTCCTCCTCCTTCCCTCCCAGTCGTGTCACAAACCCTCTCCTCCCCTCTCCCTCCTCCGCCTTCTCTCTCCCGGACCCACACAGCTCCAAACCGAACAGCATACCCTCCAACCCATCTTCACCACCCTGCCATCCCTGTTTCTACCAGTTTCCCCGCGCCTATCGCTGCAGCCATGCCAGCACCAGCAACTGATGCGTGTGCCTCTGGTGTTGCTGCTGCCTCTGCGGCTGCCTCTGCCGCTGCCCCTGCTGCTGCCTCTGCTCCTGCCTCTGCTGCTGCTGCATGTGCCTCTGCTAACCTTTCCAACACCGTCTCACCACTGCACCTGCCCCTATCTTCTCAGCCACATGTCTTGCCCTTTCCACCTGCAATTCCTGCCTCTGCTGTAGCACCACCACTAACACCTGCCGTACCCCCTGCACCACTGCCAACCCCTGCCACACCCCCTGCTGCAGCACCAATCCCCATTCCCACCACACCCCCTTCTGTAGCCCCGGCAGCAGCACTGCCAGGTGCCGCCCTCCCAGCGGACAGTCTGCTGAGAGCAGCACGTGTGATTGACAGCATGAGAGCCCTGCTGGCCCATCCTGCCCCCACCACTCCTCTCCCCTCCCTTCCTCTCTTTCCGTCTCTCGCCTCTCTATTCCCTCCAGCTGCCCCCACCCTTGCTGCCACTTCTACTGTCATGGCCCCTGCTGCTCCTGCTGCTGCTGCTGCTGCTGCTGCTGCTGCTGCTGCTGCTGCTGCTCCTTCTGTTGCTCCTGCTGCTGCAGCTCCTGCTGCTGTCCCTGCCAGTGACGCTACTGCCTATGCCATTCTTGCCAGTCTCACTCCTGCTGCGGCAACCCCTTCCAGCCTCGCTCCTCTAGCTCCCCTACCTCTGGCACAGTCCTCAGCAGCAGCGGCGCAGCAGCAGCAGCGGCAGCCAATGCAGTCAACACAGTCAATGCAGTCAATGCAGTCAATGCAGTCAAACCAGGTTCAGTCTGTTCCACACATTCTTCAGCAGAGAACGCCAGAGCATCCCTTGCAGCTTCAGCAGCAGTCGCAGCGGCAGCAGCAGTCACAGCAGGGGCAGCTGCAGCAGCAGTCACAGCAGTCACAGCAGTCACAGCTGCAGCAGCAGTCACAGCTGCAGCAGCAGTCACAGCAGCGGCAGCAGTCGCAGCTGCAGCAGCAGTCACAGCAGCGGCAGCAGTCGCAGCTGCAGCAACAGCTATCGCAGCAGCAGCAGCCGCAGCAACAGCTATCGCAGCAGCAGCAGCCGCAGCAACAGCTATCACAGCAGCAGCAGCCGCAGCAACAGTCACAGCAGTCACAGCTGCAGCAGCAGTCACAGCAGTCACAGCTGCAGCAGCAGTCACAGCTGCAGCAGCAGTCACAGCTGCAGCAGCAGTCACAGCAGTCACAGCAGTCACAGCTGCAGCAGCAGTCACAGCAGTCACAGCAGCGGCAGCAGCAGTCACAGCAGTCACAGCAGCGGCAGCAGCAGTCACAGCAGTCACAGCAGCGGCAGCAGCAGTTGGTACGGCAGCCGTTAGAAAGTCAGGCGGGTCAGCAGGCAAGGCAGCACGTGGCAAGACCACCACAGCAGCCGTCAGGGGGCTCTAAGTTGTCTCACGGCGTGACTCAGCAGTCAACCCAGCCAGCACAGTTAACCCGGCAGCAGCAAGAGCTATGGCGGTATCTGGAGCAGCATTTGGGGCGGGAATTAGGGCAGACGTTGGTGCAGCAGTTGCAGGAGCAGTTGGGGCAGCATGTGGGTCATCAGTTTGAAGCACAGCAGCACGTGGCAGGACCACCACAGCAGCCGTCAGGCGCTTCTGAGTTGCCTCCGGGTGTGACTCAGCCATCAACCCAGCAAACACAGCAAAGCCGGCAGCAGCAAGAGCTGTGGCAGCAGCTGGAGCAGCAATTGGGGCAGCAGTTGGGACAGAATTTGGGGCAGCAGCTACGAATTGCAGAGCAGAAGCAGGTAGAGCGGCATGTAGGTCAACAGGTAGGGCAGACGCAGGCAGAGCAGCAGGCAGAGCAGCAGGCAGAGCAGCAGATGGTTCAGCAGGTGTGGCAGCAGCAGAGCCATGTCTCGAGTCGAGAGCACGGGAGGCAGAGGGAGGGGGGTTCAGAGGCCGTCTCCTCCTTGGACCTACGCCTTTAGTGTCGCTCCGTGGCTCCCTTTCTCCTCGCTCCCTTGCCCCTCGCTCCCTTGCTCCTCGCTCCCTTGCCCCTCGCTCCCTTGCTCCTCGCTCCCTTGCCCCTCGCTCCCTTTCTCCTCACTCCCTTGCCCCTCGCTCCCTTGCTCCTCGCTCCCTTGCTCCTCGCTCCCTTGCTCCTCGCTCCCTTGCTCCTCGCTCCCTTGCTCCTCGCTCCCTTGCTCCTCGCTCCCTTTCTCCTCGCTCCCTTGCTCCTCGCTCCCTTGCTCCTCGCTCCCTTGCTCCTCGCTCCCTTGCTCCTCGCTCCCTTGCCCCTCGCTCCCTTGCCCCTCGCTCCCTTGCTCCTCGCTCCCTTGCCCCTCGCTCCCTTGCCCCTCGCTCCCTTGCCCCTCGCTCCCTTGCCCCTCGCTCCCTTGCCCCTCGCTCCCTTGCCCCTCCCTCCCTTGCCCCTCGCTCCCTTGCCCCTCGCTCCCTTGCCCCTCGCTCCCTTGCCCCTCGCTCCCTTGCCCCTCGCTCCCTTGCCCCTCGCATGGCACAATGCACTCTGATCCTGGCTGGTACGTCATCTGAGTAAAACCTGATAAGCTGCCGATAACACGTGGATAAGCCGACCGCATGCGACGTGGATAAGCCGACCGCATGCCGATAAGGCGTGGAAAAGCTGTAGATAAGACGGCAGTAGGCCACCGATAAGACGTGGAAAAGCTGTAGATAAGACGGCAGTAGGCCACCGATAAGACGTGGAAAAGCTGTAGATAAGACGGCAGTAGGCCACCGATTAGACGTGGAAAAGCTGTAGATAAGACGGCAGTAGGCCACTGATAAGACGTGCATGTCGCATGGATAGGACGCGGATAATGCGTTGCTGGTGCAGATACGATGCGGAACAAAGGTGCTGCTGAAGCGTAGTGTATATATTCGTAAGAGTTTATACATTGTACCACTACTACCAATATTATATACTTTGTGTTATCTGTTTGTAATGTTTGTTGAAGAGCTCCCTTCGAGAATCAATCTGTTTGTGTACGCCTTGTAATTTCTCTCTGCCATGAGCCTCATACGGGCTAGGTTCAGGGCAGGGAAGGGGAATGAGCAAGGAGGGTGAGGAAGTGGGAGTGTGGGGAGCAGAGGGGAAGAGAGAGGAGTGTGCGGGAGGGAGTGCAAGGAGATGGAGTGGAACGGGTGTGTGGAGTAAGAAGTGTGGGAGGAGGGGCGTGGGTTGAGGGGTACAACGGAGGAAAGGGTGTGCGGGAAGAAGGGTCTGGGAGAAGGTGTGTGGGCAGAGGAGGATAGGGTGAGGATGGGGTGAGGATGGGGTGAGGATGGGGTGAGGATGGGGTGAGGATGGGGTGAGGATGGGGTGAGGATGGGGTGAGGATGGGGTGAGGAGGATGGGGTGAGGATGGGTTGAGGACGTGTGGGTGTGGGAGGAGGGGTGTGGGAGGAGGGGATGCGAGCAATGGACTTTTAGCATGAGATGTTCGTTTGTGAGGGGAGGTCAAAGGGAGGTCACTGAGTCAATGACTGGTTGACAGAAGTAAGGCCTTTGCAGCCTATTTGACTATTCTTGACGAGGCATGAAGCAGTACCTGCATGGTTCTGGAGGCAAGTGGACTTTCGATTCCCAACTTGTCAGCCACTTCACTGCACATCTTTTCATGTCTCTGACTCGACAGTGCCAGAGTTGTGGCATCAAACCCCCTAAACTAATCACAGTTCAAACACCATCGTTCTCCACCGCATTCCATCTCACTGGGTCCTGCCCATCACCTTATAAGCATGCTCTATAATGTTGTCTACAGTGAATCCGAACTTATGGAACACTTCAAGATAATGCCCGCTGGCACCGAATCGCTCAACAGAGAGGACAAATCCCTCAGGTCCCACCCACTCGCACCAGCCCTGTTGTGGGTGGGGGGTGGGGGTGGCAAGTCCAAGTATTAAACCGACACAACAAAGTCCAAGCTTATATATATATATATATATATATATATACATGTGTGTGTGTGTGTGTGTGGGGGGGGGGGGGGGGGGGGGGGGGGGGTGTGGGTGGGTGTGTGTGTGTGTGTGTGTGTGTGTGGACGAACTCTAAAGGGATGTGGTAAGCTAATGGGACGTGGTGAGGAGCAGAATATTCTGGCTGTTAGCTTGGCAGCAGACAGAAGCACCAACACACGCAGCAGTTTTAACCAGCTCACCTGGGAGCGAGCAGCCTCAACAGCCAGTCGTTTGGTGACACGTGGCGGCAGCACAGCGTCCCGATACTCCCGAGGCTGCTGCCTGAACAGCTCCCAGCAGGGGAGCGACACCACCCGCACGCTGCTTGCATGTGATATGCGAGGGGGGTTGGGGGTGGGGCGGTGGGGCATGGAAGATAGGTTGGGCTTGGGTTGGCAAGCAGGAAAGAAGACTTTTTGGATCCCTCGAGAGATTACAGCAGGGGAGGGACACCACCCGCATGCTGCTTGCATGTGATGTGCGAGGGGACTTTTGAGTCGACTCAAAAGTCACCACGCTGCTTGCATGTGATGTGCGAGGGGGGAGGATGAGACAAGGGTGCGGGATGGGGTTGAGGCATGGGGCATGGGGTGACTTTTGAGTCGACTCAAAAGTCACCTCGTTGAGGCATGGGGCATGGGTTGGAAGCAGGAGAATTCTTAGATGCCTCACTAGAACTCCCAGCAGGGGAGGGCAGCCACCCTGCTTGCATGCAGTGTGCATGTCATCACACTGCTTGCACGTGATGTGTGATGGGGTGGATGCGGGTGCAGCATGCGGCAAGAGGCATGGGTAGGGAGGGGTTGGGTTGACAAGCAGGAGATGATATCTTAGACGGCTTTAAGAAAAGAGATTTCTTCGGCTCCCAGGCACGGCCCCCAGGCACACGGCCCCCAGGCACACGGCCCCCAGGCACACGGCCCCCAGGCACACGGCCCCCAGGCACACGGCTCGCACACTGCTTGCTGGTGATGCACCATGCACGCAGAAAGGGGTCGGCCCGGTTTATGCAAATGGGGGTGGTTGCTTTTTGGGGGAACTAAAAAATTAGATGCCCAAACGCGAGAGGCACAGCCACATGCAGCCTCGGTCAGTCTCACCTGTACCCTTCCTGGCGAAGCTTCTCAGCAGCTTCCTGGCAGAGCACCAGCTCCGATCCTGACCCAATTAGAATCAAATCCAATCCACCTTCTCCTCCCTCCCCCTCCTCCTCTTCTTCCCTCCCCTCCCCTCCCAGCACATATCCCCCCCTCAACACCCCCTCCCTGCACGACCCCCGGAGCTGAGCTGTCAGCTTCTGACGGGACAGCAGGATCGCGGTGGGCCCCACGCTGCGCCGGATCGCCGCCACGTAGGCGCCAGCTGTCTCGGTGGCGTCGCCGGGGCGGATGACGTGGAGGTTGGGGATTGCCCGGAGGGATGGCAGGTGCTCCACTGGCTGTAGAAGGGGAGAGGGGGGGGACACGAGAAGGAAGAGGGGAAGGAAGAGGGGAAGGAAGAGAAGGGGAGGAGTAGAGAGAGGAGTTCAGGTGGTGTGCTGGGCGGATGGCGTGGAGGTTGGGGATTGCCCGGAGGGAGGGGATATGCTATTATGCTCCAATGGCTGTAGTGGGATGATGTGGAAAGGAAGGAAAGGGCAGAAAACACATGGTATCGACAACAAGTCCAATTCTCTGGGCAATATATGAATACATATATGTATATAAGAAAATAGATAAACAGATACATAGATACATAGATAAAAATATAATTAGATATACGGATGAGTTAATAAATAATAGAAAATTCTGGACAAATTGGGCTCACCTGGTGCGTGGGGCCGTCCTCCCCCAGCCCGATGGAGTCATGGGTAAAGACAAAGAGCACACGGGCGGCGGAGAGGGCGGCGAGGCGCAGCGCCGGCCGCATATAGTCGGAAAAGACGAGGAAGGTGGCTGCCACTGGTATGAGCGCCCGTGAGTGCAGGGCAAGGCCGTTGCTGGAGGTGAAGAGTGGGGAAACAAGGTTGGGGGTTGCAGGTTGATGGAAAAGACGAGGAAGGTGGCTGCCACTGGTATGAGCGCCCGTGAGTGCAGGGCAAGGCCGTTGCTGGAGGTGAAGAGTGGGGAAACAAGGTTGGGGGTTGCAGGTTGATGGAAAAGACGAGGAAGGTGGCTGCCACTGGGATAAGCGCCCGTGAATGCAAGGCAAGGACGTTGCTGGAGGGGAGAGAGGGTTGGGGAGGGATTTTGGAGTGGGGGATGGGATGGGATGGGATGGGATGGGATGGGACGAACGCATGTGAGTGGAGGGTCAGCCTGTTGCTGGAAAGGGTCAGTTTTGGAGGAAGCTGGATAGGAGCGGCGGAAGACAGGGTGGGTGATGGGAGGACATGTGTGCGTGTCGGGTCAGTGTGCTAGTGTCCCACCAGCCGCAGAATGAAAGCCGTGGATCAGATGATGTGATGTGGGTAGTATAAGCGCACTCTCATAATCTCTTAATAAATACGGCTGGCATGTCAGATCCTGCCCTTTTATATAACAGCCATGGCATGCTCGCGCACGCCGTAGTGGAAGTTGCGCCCCTCAAAGCAGTCCCGGGAGAAGTCCGGTGTGGCAGGTGATGCCCGCCACGCCATGCACTCACCTCATGCTCACCACCCCTGCCCCAGCATGTCAGGAGGTGCACACCATGCTGTGCCCTCGCATCATGCTCACCACCCCTGCCCTAGCATGTCATGCTCACCCCTGTCCCACCGTGCTCGCATCGCACCTGATGGCAGCCATGGCATGCTCGCGCACGCCGTAGTGGAAGTTGCGGCCCTCAAAGCACTCCCGGGAGAAGTCCGGAAGCCCGTGAAAGGCCACCTGGGAGGGCGCCATGTGTGGGGAGGGGCGCGTGGCGAGGGGGAATGAGGGGAGGAAGGATGAGGGGGCCGCGGAAAAGGGGTGATGAGGGGAGGGAGGCCGCTGGTTACCATGATGTGGGCTCATGCTGGCAGTCTCTTGCATGTTATCTAAACGCCACGTCAGCATGCCTCACCTTATTGGAGGATGCCAGGTCAGCACTGCCGCCCAGCAGGTTGGGCAGCGAGTGCACGAGGGCGTTGAGACACGCTTCAGAGTAACCACGCGTGGCATCGGGAGGAGTTGATGGTTGGAAGTGCTGGAGAGGAGGGGGGGAAAGGGAGATAGGCGGCACGGGAAGGAGATAGGGGGGGCACAGATGCGTTGCTTGCAGCGCATGTCAGGTGGGTTCTATGCCTAAGAGTGGCCTGCCGTCGCTTGACGTCAGGTGGGTTCGATGGGGAGGAGGAGTGCTGGGAGGGGGTGGGGGAGAAGATCGGGGAGGGATGCAAGGGGAAAGGGGAGGAGGAGGCGAGGGCACGTTGCATTGCGGCACACTATGGAGTACCCTTGTGGCGTTAGAGGGGTATTTTTAAGAACTCCCCAAAACACACCCCTCTCTCTCCCCTGCTCTCCCCCCTTCTCCTCCCTCTCCCCTATCTGCTCCCCCTCCCACCCTCTCTCACCGGCAATGAGTCCTCCCAGCCAGCTGGCAGCCGCCCAGGCAATGTGAGTGCGTCCAAAAGCGCCGCCCGGTCCGGGTGGCGTTGGCGGTACTGCGCCGCCCGATCCCTCCAGCTGGCAGCCACTGATTGGCCGCGCGCAGCCGCCTTTTGCATGGCCCTGATTGACGGATAAAAGAGGAGACATCGAAATAATGGGAGGCGGAGAGTGGGCAAAGGTGGGTGGAGGTGTATCGATGCATGGCACTGGATGGAAGAAGAAACATAGGAGACGATAGAAGGCGAGGGTGGGGGGAGAAGGGGATGGAAAGGGGAGCAGGAGGGGCATAGAGCAATACCAACTGCAGAGAAGAACTGTGTCCACTTCCCTCCCCTCCCCTCCCCTCCCCTCCCCTCCCATTCCCTCCCCTCCCCTCTTCGCCCCTTCCCTCCCCTCCCCACTTCCCTTCCCAGCCACTCACCTGTACACCTCCTCAGGAACAGTAAAAGGCTCGCTGTAAGGCCAGTGCAGCTCCTTCTTTATGGCTTTAGTCTCCTCGGACCCAAACGCCCCATGGTGGGCCGCACTCGTGCCCTGCTTCTTGGGGGAGCCGAACCCGATTACTGTGTCCACTTGGATGACCGATGGCCGGTGGGTTTCCTTCTTGGCGGCTTGTATGGCGGTGCGAAGAGCTTCCAGGTCGGCGGCGTCGTGCAGTGTGATCCGCTGCACGTGCCACCTCAGTGCGTCGAAGCGGCCCATGACGTCCTCTGAGAAGGCGAGGTCCGTGCTGCCGTCTATGGTGACCTTTGGGGGAGGGGAGAAGGCCAGGGAGGAGGGGTGAAGGTAAGGGGGGGAGGGGGGAATGTGAGACGCCTCAAAGATCGCCCCAGGACGTCCTCTGGAAGGCGAGGTCCGTACTGCTGTCTATGGTGACCTGGGGGGAAGGGTTGAGGGGGGGGTGAGGAGAGGAAGGTGGGAGTAAGAAGTCTCAAGAGCGATCAGGGACGTATCAGTAGCAGACAGGTGGGCTGCGAAGGCCTAAACAGAAGCTAAGGGCGCGTGTGATCTATTCTAAAGTTCGGAAATAAGTTTGAACTTATGATGGTTACCCGTTTCGTGAATGTCGCTGAAACCCGTTGGCGAAGGCATAGAAATGTTGGGCGCACGTAAGTGCGAATTCCATTTGTGAACTCGACTCGAGTCGAATAGATGAACGTGATTGTTCACGTTGAAGCGAGCGTGTGTGTTTTCGGCATGTACGAAGACCTTGCGAAATTGACGACTGCATTGCGAAACAAAAAATAGCAGTATGTCGACTTGGCGAGCATGTACCGGGTTACATAGGGGTTCGAATTTTGGTGTTCGACCTTGCGTGTGTGATTGCATCTTTGCAGTGTTATTCCCGCAATGTTCGAACTTAGCTACAAGGAAAGTCGAATTCCATTCGACTGAAGTTCAAAAACATCATTCGCCCCCAAAACATAAACTTTGTCAAATTTGACGGAACACACGCGCCCTAATACACAAAAACGAAGTATAAAGATTTTCGGGTTTGTTGCTGATTCTGGTTGTGAGACTGGTGCTGGTATACATATTCATTCGACTAGTGCTCGTACTTGTATCGGTGCAAACAATGCTGCAGCTGCTAAACGTGCTGCAACTGATCTTCGTGGGCAGCTTGAGCAGCTACAGGAATTACTGCACCAGTATAAGTACGAGCACCAGTCGCAGTATGAATATCAGCACCTGTCTCATAATCAGAACCAGCAGCAGTACACTAAACCCTGGAGATACAGAAATCGAAGAGCTCGCCCAGCCCCCAATAGCCTATCAGTGATGCTGATACTCCCTGCTGACCCATCTGACCCCACATTCTTTCACCTGGGGTTCCAACCCAAGTGCAGCCGTCGCACCTGGTTGGAGTCGTAAAAGGCGATTGGCTTGCCCAGCCCCCAGTGGCCCGCCAGTGATGCTACCACTCTCTAATGACCCAATTGACCCTAATGAACCCGCCCCTTCCATTCAAACCAATTCAACTGAGGGTTCAACGCGGTAGGTGCACCCACACCCAGATGTATCCCCCACCTGGTTGGAGTCGTAGAAGGCGATTAGCTTGCCCAGCCCCCAGTGGCCTGCCAGCGACGCTGCCTCGTTCACCACACCCTCCATCGCACAGCCATCGCCAAATACAACGAACCTGGACGGCGGCAGGTGCACAGGCAGCACCACAAGGGAGGAGGCAAGGCGAGTCCGTGAGATTGTAGCGAGAGGCACATACGAGGCACACTTGACCACACAAGACAAGTCAATACATTTGATTGCGATCGCATAGCATCACAAGGATGTCGCTGGTTGCAACCATGTGGTGGGAGTGAGGTGACTTTTGAGTCGACTCAAACGTCAACCATGCGGTGGGAGTGAGACCTGCCGCCATTACCTGTGCCACAAGACAGAGACTCGACAGAAGTTAAGGAGGTCAACGTGGTCAACGGGTGGCACGCACTCGTTGTCAACGAGGTCAATGCGGTCAACGAGAGAGGTCCCACTACGCACGTGTGGTGGTCAATGAGGTCAGGGAAGTCAACGGTGTTGAGGCGAGCAGCCAGGTGCGCCTCTGCTGCCGCCACCCCCACCGCATTCGCAAAGCCCTGCCCCAGCGGGCCTGCAAGGGAACGAGCACAGGAGTAACGGACATGGAGGCGAAAGGAAGGCTTGATACGTCTGACAGCTGGAACCAGGAAGGAAGTCGAGTTTTGAGTCGACTCAAAACTCGGAACCAGGAAGGAAGTTGACACGGAGGAAGACCAGGCGGAGGAAAGACAAGCGGGATTCCGAAACAGCATTGACGCAAACAGCTTCAACACAAGATTCGCCTGTGGCGGCCCCCACCCCACCACCCCAACCAACCCCACCTGTGGTGACCTCTATCCCTGGCGTGAGTGTGTTCTCCGGGTGGCCTGGCGTCTTGCTCCCCAGCTTTGCCAGCCGCTTCAGGCCCTCCATCTGCCACCGGGGGATTTTGGGGGGAAGGGGTTGGCAGGGATACAAAGAGGTTGGCAGGGAACATCACACTGATTGGGTACTGCAGCAGCTTGCCCAGCACACATGCAACTGACCTGGAGATTATATCCAGTCATGCAGCAAGCAGTACTGCCGCAGACTCACGTGGCCGTGGCTCAAAATGAAGGGATTACGACTGGATACTGCAGCAGCTTAGCTTGCCCACGCCACCACACTCCCAGCACATGCCCAACTCGTGTTTCGAGTTGACTCAAAACACGACTCATTGAAGGGATTACGACTGGATACTGCAGCAGCAGCTTGCCCGCGCCACCACACTCCCAGCACACGCCCAACTCACCTGGAGATTATACCGAGTGAGGTGCAGCAGGCAGTACTGCAGCAGGCACACGTGGCCGTTGCTCCACAGTTGATGATGCACACACACAACACACGCCCAACACAGCCTAACACACCTGGAGATTGTATCCCGTTAGATGAAGCAGGCAGTACTGCAGCAGGCACACGTGGCCGTTGCTCAGGATGAAGATGACTCACGTGGTGCACCCAGTGAGGATGAAGCGGTCGCGATTGGGCCACACCTGAACACATGGGTAGCACACACCCAGCTCACCTGGAGATTATATCCCGTCAAGTGGAGTAAACAGTACTGCAGCAGGCACACGTGGCCGTTGCTCAGGATGAAGCGGTCGCGATTGGGCCACGCGGGATCGGTGGGGTCGAAGCGCATCTCCTCGGCGAATAGCAGCGCGCCAAGTGGCGCCAGCCCCATTGCGGACCCGGGGTGACCCGCGTTGACCGCGTTGACCGCGTCCACCACCAGCATGCGAATGGTGTTGATACACGTGGCAGCCACAGATTGGTTCGCCAGCTGCATAGGAAGGAGGGGCGGGGAGGAGCGGGGGAGAGTGGGGGAGGGAGGGTGGGAGGGCGGGGAAGAGAGGGGGAGAGAGGGAGAGAGAGGGGGAGAGCGGGATGGGAAGACGTGAAGAGGGGAGGGGGAGAGGTGAGAAAGACGGACAAGGGAAGGGGATTTCTGAGACACTCAGAGGATGGACAAGGGAGGGGCGAGAAGGAGAGAGAGGAGAGTGGAGACCGGGGCTGCTGCCATGAGGCAAGCCCAAAAGGGGCCATTTATACCATGAGAGGGCCGCAGGTGAAAACCATGCATCCATGGCTGAGGTTGACTCCCTTGACTCCCTTGACTCTTGAATCTCAACACTCACAAGCGATTTTTCCAGCTGAGCTGTCTCCCCCTTATCTGCCACGTCAGCTCTCTCCTCCCCTTCTGCTCTCCTCCCCAGGCATCTCGCCTTCAAATCACCGCCGCCCCTCACGCGACCAACCCGCGCCGTCCGATCAGAGCCACGTCCAGTCTCGTCATTGCCGTGCTGTCGCGAACTCAGTCGCCCAATCCGTGGCGGCTGTGCGAAAGTTCGCCAGCTCGGCGAAATCACCAGGCGATCCTTCGGCGGGAAAGCGGCGGCGGCAGCGGGAGCGGTCGCTGAAGGTGGGGAGGCGAGACACGAGGGGGTCTGGAACACGAATGCCGCCATGGATCGCGCTTCTGGCTCGCCGCTTTCTGCGCGCGCCTGATAACGCCTTTCCTGATGATGCAATTCCGGTGCTCACACGTCGCGCCTACTAAACGGCTGCTCCAACCAATCAAACGATAGCTGTGGCTGCGTTCAGTAGGGCTCTGACTTGGGTGTTCCGAATACGTCGCCCTAGTAACGTTCCCCCAAACGTCCCCTCAACATCCTCAACATCCCCGCAACATCCCCGCAATGTCCCCGCCGCAACGCCCCCCCCACTGATCCCACAATGCCCCCCAGCGTTACCGCAACGTTTTCCCCAAGCCGGAATTCGCCCCCTCCCCTCATCATCCGCCGGTTGTGTGGCAAGGAGGAAAGGAATTGTTAATCCAAGAGACATTGCGCGGAATGCGGGGAGCATGCGCGGACGGGGGTGGTTCCGAAGTAGCGCCAATTGCGTAGAGGAATTCGGGGAGGACGAGGAGGGGAGAGGGCGGAAGATGGGGGGGAGGGTGCGGTGGCGGGTGGGAAGTCGAAGGCGGGCCGATGGGCGATCATGATTCATGGCGAGCTGATCCCGCGCTTCGGCTACTGATGGCGAGGCGCGCAGTGCGGCAGTGGTGAGCTGTCAAGCGAGAGTAGGAGGAGAATCCGTGCGCATGCATGGCGAGCGGGGTGGGAACGGGGTGCGAGCGACGCGGCGGGGAATCAGCGCTTGAGCTGGCAGGCACGCGCTTTGGACGATGCTAATTGGATGTCGTGCTCCCACATTGAACGCATCGATACAGCGTGGCTGGATAAAACTGATATCAAACTTTAGTGGCAATCGTCCAATAAGCAGTGTGAGTAAGTGTGCATATCAAACTTTAGTCATATAAACAAAAGGCTGCAAGATCAACAAGCCGGTGTAGCTCAGTGGTAGAGCATCTGTCTTGTAAACAGAAGGTCCAGAGTTCAATCCTCTGCATCGGCACACTTTTTTCTCAGGCGCTATCGCCATAGGCGCACGTCCTTTCCTTTTTCACCCTTCAACAACCGCATCCAGTCGAATCGACTTTCTTTTTCCGCTTTTCTTTTGCCGCCGCGTTGCTCGCTGCGCGTATCGCGATGGGCCTCTTCGGCGACTTGCCTCCGCCGTCGAACGCTCCCAAGCCACCGACTCGCGCCAACCCTCCGTCGTCAACGTCAACTCCGTCTAGCAAACCGTCAACTCCTGCTGAACGGCCGGCGGCGGTTGGACCAAAGCCCTCTGCACTCAAGTCGTCACTCAAAGGGAGGGCGGACGCATGGGGGGAAGAGGGGACGGGGAATGCCAGCGCGGGGGACGCGGGTGGGGGATCGGTTGAAGGCGGAAAGACTAGGAAGCGCGTGGGGATGGCTGTGGCGGACGAGGCAGATGGCGACGGTATGGACGCTGCAGACTTCGTTGACTGGCGATGACTTTGTGTGACCTGGTTTGCTGACTCTGCACTAGATTAGGGTTGCATGTCGCCGCTGCTATCCAACCGGTTTCTGGCTCGCACTTTTCCTCTACCACTCAACCCCGGTTCCCTAACCCTAATTCTCCTTAATCCTGTTCTAATTTCCGTACGCTGAATCTCGTAATTTCTGCTTCCCTGGCCAACTCCCTCATTCCCCTCGTACTCCTCCCAGATATCTAATATCCCGTCAAGGCTCAAACCCTAACATCATCACCCAACCCCTTCCTCCCGACCTCCCCCTCTCTTTCCCTCTTCTCCCCTTCCCTCCCCTTTCTCCCCCCTTCTCTCCCCCCCCCCCCCCCCTCCAACCCTCCCCCCGTTTCCAGCCCCCTCGCACCGGCGGGTGCGCTTCAACACGTTTGCTGAGGTGGCAGAGGACAAGGTGACGTCAGCAATTGCCAAGATCTCCGCCCACATCGGCACGCCGACCAAGTTCAAGAAGGCGGCCAGCCTCGCTCGGCAGCTTCTGGAGGGCGGCGCACTGAACCGTGCCGCAACCAGTGGCATGAACAGTACTGATAACAGTGCGGTGGAGAGCGGTCATTCGGGGTTGTTCTTTGGAGTATTGGAAGCAGCAATGGGGCTGCTGCGGAGGGAAGGCGGAGGGGGGGCGGGAGGCATGGTGGTGGGGGCTGCGGGGGACGTTGAGAGCGAGTATGCTGCTCTGATTGGCGCTGCTGTGGAGAGAAAGGAGGTGCGTGAAGGGGGAAGAAAAGGGGGGAGAAAAGGGGGAAGAAGGGGGGGAAGAAGGGGGGGGGATGGGGGTTGGTGACATTGAAGGCAAAGTGTGCGGCAAGGGCGCATGGAGGGCGAGTATGCTACGCTGATTGGTGTTTTTGTGGAAAGGAAGGAGGTGCGTGAAGGGGGGGGAGCGGGGGGGGAGTAAGGCAGGGGAGCGGAGGTCAGGGGGATGGGGAGTGGGGCGGTGGGGGACATGAAGTGGGGGTTGCGAGGAAAGGGGGTGTGGGAATGGGGGAGAATGGGGGAGAATGGGGGAGAATGGGGGAGAATGGGGGAGAATGGGGGAGAATGGGGGAGAATGGGGGAGAATGGGGGAGAATGACTCACCCCCTCAACGCCCTCCAGCACCGTCCTTGCCGAGCCCCACACATTTTCTCCCCCCCACATCCCACTCGTCCCCACACATGTTGGTTTGACTTTTGACTCGTTCTCAAAAGTCAAACCAACATAGCTCTCCTTGCTCAGCCCCACACTTCTTCCCCCCCCCCATCCCACTCGTCCCCACCCCCCCATCCCACTCGTCCCCACCCCCCCATCCCACTCGTCCCCACACCCCCATCCCTGCACGCACCCAACCCCCCCCTACCTGATCCGCCCACCCCCTTACCCCCCACCCAACCCGCATCTCGCCCCCCACGCTCCCCTCCTCCACGTGTGCAGCTGTTTTCGGCGTGGCAGCAGCAGCAGGTGGACGTGTGGGGGCTGCGCACCGATGACAGCTTCCAGGTGAGGTGGGGGAACAGGTGTACAGGTTGGGGAGGGGTGGGGGTGTGGGCAGTTTGCAAGGTGGGGCAGTGGGCAGAGGCAGCTGTGGGGTGTGGGCAGCTTGCAAGGTGGGGCAGTGGGCAGAGGCAGCTGTGGGCTCTGCGTGCTGTGCTCGCCGACTCGCTGCGCACTGACGATAGCTTCCACGTGGGGGGGAGGGGGAAGGGGAAGAGGGGGGGACTGCGCTGGGGGCAATGGGTATGAAGGCAAGTGTGGGGGCTGCGCGCTGTGCTCACCCACTCGCTGCGCACCGATGACAGCCTCCAAGTGTGGGTGCGGAAAGCAGGTGAATGGGGAGATTGGCGGGCAGGTGGGCGGGCAGGTGGGTGTTGCTCTATCCGGCTTCCATGTGTGCTGCCTGTGTACCCTCCTCTTCTTCCTGCTCCCCGTCCTTGCCTTTCTCCTCCCCGCCCCCTCTCCTCCCCGCCCCCTCTCCTCCCCGCCCCCTCTCCTCCCCGCCCCCTCTCCTCCCCGCCCCCTCTCCTCCCCGCCCCCTCTCCTCTCCGGCCCCTCTCCTCTCCGGCCCCTCTTAACCTCCCTCTCCTCTCCAGTTCTCCAAGGCCGTGTCTCGAGTGCAGCAGGAGGTGGAGCGATTGCTAGAGGCACTCAAACCTCTCCTGCTCACCGCCCTCACTCCACCCTTGGCCCCCCCCCTCCTCTTCCCTTCCCCCTCCACCTCCCCCACCCCTTTCCAGTTCTCCAATGCCGTGTCGCGAGTGCAGCAGCAGATGGAGCGACGGCCAGGGGCAGCAGAGGAGGATGAAGGGGAGACGCTCACATGTTGGTGGGCCGTGCTTCAGTGTATGCTGCCTGTGCACCCTTCCCCCTTGTCCCCTCCCCCCCTCCCCCCAGTTCTCCAAGGCGGTGTCTTGAGTGCAGCAGCAGCAGGTGGAGCGACTGCCAGAGGCCTTTTGAGGCGCCTCAAAAGGTGTCTTGAGTGCAGCAGCAGCAGGTGGAGCGACTGCCAGAGGCCTTTTGAGGCGCCTCAAAAGGTGTCTTGAGTGCAGCAGCAGCAGGTGGAGCGACTGCCAGAGGCAGCAGAGGAGGGAGAGAGGCTGTTGTTACACCATCCTTCCATGTGCGCTCCCTCTCCTTTCCTTCCTCCTCCCCGTCCACTCAAATACCCCCCCCTCCCCCCCCTCCAGTTCTCCAAGGCCGTGTCTCGAGTGCAGCAGCAGGTGGATCGATTGGCGGAGACACTTCAAGCTCTCCCGTTCACCGCCCTCACTCCACCCTTCCCCCTGTCCCTCCTCTTCCATTCCCCCTCCATTCCTCCCCCTCCCAGTTCTCCAAGGCCGTGTCTCGAGTGCAGCAGGATGTGGAGCGATTGCCAGAGGCAGCAGAGGAGGATGAGAGGCAGGAGGCAGGGCTGTTTGCAGGGGTGTCGATGCAGGTGCAGAGCCAGGAGGGTGGTGTGGAGGGGGAGGGGGAGGGAGAGAAGGGGCAGGAAAAAGGGGAAGAGAGTGTGGAACGGAAGAGAAGCAAAGATCAAGAGAGCAGGGGTGGGGACGAAATGGGAGAGGAAGAGAGGCGGGAGGACAAGAAGGAAAAAGAAAACGATGATACAAATGCTGCAGAAGGTGCGGCAGATTCTGCTGCAGACCACTTCGGATTAGATGCTATGTTGGGTCTCAGTGGGGACAAGGGAGGTGGGAAAGGAGGTGAGGGAGAAGTGGGAGAGGAGGAAGAGGAAGAGGAGGAGGAGGATCCGTTTGGGTTGGGCGAGATGATAAAAAGAAAGCAGGCTACGAGGGAGCAGAAGAGGAGGGAGGAGAGGGAGAGGAGGAGGAGGGAAGAGGAGGAGGCACGGCGGAGAGAGGAGGAGGAGGAGAGGCGGATGTTGAGGGAGAGGAGGGAGGCGTTGCTGCTGTGCATTCAGACAGCCACACAGATGTACCGCCACAAGTGGTGAGTGGGAGGAGTTTTTAGTGAAGGCGCAAAGGTGAGTGCGATGTGGTAGGCGACCCTGCTGTACATTCAGATTGCCTCAGAGATGTTCCGGCCCGAGTGGTGAGTGGGAGGAGCTTTGAGCCGAGTGGTGAATGCGAGCTGTGCGGCTTGCGTTTTCACAGCCGGTGAGCGCAAGGGGAGAATAAGAGTTTAGAGTTTGCCAAGCGCTTTTGCATTTGTGCTACATTTTCATGCCCGTCCTTCTTACCTATGCTTTCCTTCCGTTCCTTGTACTCCCCAGGGCCCAGACGGCTATGACATGCTGGCTCAGCACGCCTACGTCCACAGGCGGTGTGTTGAAGGGACACGAGGCACGCACCCCTTGTCCTACTGCTGCTCATTAATCCAGCTTGCACTTTCTACCTGTGCCTCCTCCGCTCCCCCTACCTTCCCCCCACCCAGGGCCCAGACCGCTATTGACATGCTGGCGCAGCACGCCTACGACCACAGGCGGCGTACTGATGGCACCCGTTAACTGCTCTTCCCTTATCCTACCTTCCCATTCTGCCTGTTATTCCTCCCCCCTCTTCTCAGGGCCCAGACGGCCATTGACATGCTGGCGCAGCACGCCTACGACCATAGGCGGCGATTCACCGGGCGGCAGCGGGCGGCAATCGAGGCGCTGTGGACGAGTGTAAGGCATCAGCAGCACGAGCGGAAGCACGGGGCGGGACGGGGCGGCACCGGCCGGCTGGATGTGACTGCGTTTGAGCGCCTGCAACGGCATTATGAGGGCAAGGCGATTAGCATTAGGAAAGGGGTGGGGGGTGGTGGGGGCCGGAGCACAATTACCTGGTTGGGGTGAGGAGTAACTTTGGAGGCGCCTCAACAGTTGCATTCTAAGGCCAACGGCATTATCAGGGCACGGGGTGGTGGGGGTCGGAGCACAGTTACCTGGCTGGGGTGAGGTGTAAGTTGCTGTTGTACCGTAATGCTGTAGAAGTATCAGGAGAGGAGACGAGCTCACTGGTTGTCACTGCCACAAAGAATGCTGGGAGTAATGCATTGGAAGGAGCATAATAACAGTGATTTTCATTGGTGTACTAGTCATTACTGCACTGCACTTTCGGACGCTGTGATTGCCGAGGTCGCAATAGCAGGATAGTCAAATACCTTTCTATCAAGTACTGGACCCCGGCGTTCCCCGGTCCGGCCCCGATGGGGCACTGCACCCCGGCGGTTGCGTGTGACAGAAGCGGTTTCGTCGTGTTTCGTTTGGAGACACAACCGCCATTACTGACGTGTCGATTCGAGTTGCAGGATGGGAAGTCGAGCCGAAGCGTGACAAGACCAACCGACGCAATGGAGAAATGTCTAAACGCCCATCCAAATTGTAATCGCAGCTTCGCAAGATGTCGCAAATTGCGAATCTGTTCGACGAATGGTCTAAACCCAGGAACCCAGTTTCGCAACACGTCGCAAATGGCAGATCTGTCCCGCAAATGGTCAAGCATCCGTCTGACCAATTTTGTGCGAACGCTGGAATGCGAAAAGCGGATAAAAGATGACGATCGGCGACAAAACACTGGTAGCAAGGACAGACGCAGTTGCAACAACTCTCATATGGCTGAGTGGTAGAACTACCAGCCAAACCAGCAATTTGACCGGCACGGCAGCCGTCAGAATAAGCGTCTGCGATGGTCAAAATGACGCTCGACGACAACACGACTGAGGTGGTGGCGTTGCCTGCCTGTCCCCCCAAGCAAGCCACAAGCCTCGCTATTGCGGTGCGGACCTTGCCACGTAGCAGGCCTGACGAAGATATTCGCGATTACTTTCAAGCTTCTTCCGCGTGAGGTGTACTAGGAGCCAAACTAGCTTGAGCTGTTCCGTTGCAGCTCCAGCTGTTTGCGACGCGGTGCGACCCGTTGAAGAATTGGCCTCGTGCCCCTAGCTAGGATGACGACAAACGTCGTCACTTCGCTTCACCTGTTGCTCACGCGGAAAGTCCGGTTTCTGCGAGTGAGGGAAACGCTTCGTGGCGCAGCTTCGTCACGTCCTCATCCTCGTGCCTCGACGCTGTCAGCAAAAAAATCCCTTTTCCCAACGAGTGGGGTATCATGCAGATAAAGCACCGCTGATCTCCCACACCAACGCGTGAGCTCAACTCAATCATTCCCTTGATAGCGATTTTCATTTATTAGAATCGAAATCAGTCAGCTGTCTCCGTCGCTTTTCGTTACTACTTTTCATCCCGACTCCCGACACCTCGCAAAGATGGAGCAAGCCAAGGCCGACTTGGCCCCGCCGTGCGTCGTTGTTCTGCTTCCAGATGGCTCGGCGCGCCTCTACGACGACGCGCGTCTCACGGCATCGACAGTGCTCGCCGACTTCCCCTGCCACCTGCTCCTCTCCACCCTCTCCACCGCCACGCCGCGCACCCCCTTGCCACCCGCCGCACTCCTCAAACCTGGCCGAACATACTACCTCATCGCCGACTCGCACCGTCCGCGAACGGCGGCGAGAGTGGCGGTTGATGTTTCGTCGCCAACGTCGCCGTCATCGTCTCAATTCTCGCCGAGCGTGTTTCGCAAATCGCAAACTCTGCACTCCACCAGCCCAGTGTTTGCGTCCCCTCATGACGAGTCGCATCAGAACCCTTTGCAAACAACGGGCCGTGGTTTCGGCACGCAGCGAGTTCCCGTAACTTACGGCCCGGTTTCTCCGCTTTCGACCCTATCGCCTTATTCGCCTCCTATGTCCGAAGGCGCGATTCCGCTGGATTGCCATCATGGTCAAACGCGCAGCTCTCCCCCGAAGGCGTGGAATGAGGGAGTCGGGGAGATGTGCATTTTGAGAAGCACGAGCACGTGCGAGCTTGGTGGACACAAGAGTTCGCAATCAGGATACGATGCGACCGCAGGAGTCCTCCCATCGCGGCTACACGATGGACGTACCGCCAACCGCATTCTCCAAGAGGTTAGTTTCACCAGCCTTTGTTTATTTCGTTTTATTCAACCTTTCTTTCTCAGACAATACATTATTATTAAACGAAACCCCTAACCGCCGTTGTCGTTCCCCAATGCCGTGTTTGCAGCTCGAAGCTCTTGACGACATGACGACCGATGATTCTGCGTACGATACTCGCGACCGCCAGTCTTCTTTCCACACGCCTTCAGCAATCTCGGCAGAGCCTTTCACCGCGACTCGGCGAACATCGTCCAGCCTATCTAAGCCGTCCATTATTGGCAGACTCCCTCATCTAAGTTCGTGGAGTTTCAGGAGCAGAGTCGCACCCAGTCGGAAGATGAACAAGAGTCAGACTCAAAAGAACATGTCCAGCCGCATTGCGGAATTTCCAGATCTCGGCAGAAGCATTATCAGCGGAGGGCATCACACGGTGACGCCAAGCTATTGTGAAGAGGAGGGAGCTTTCTGGAAGAATCTCGACGACAGAACCATGATGTTCACGGACACGCAGATTCTGGTTAGCCGGAAGGATATTGAAGCAAATGTTAGCGCGGCTACACCTACTCGCGCTGCCTTGATCGGCGCCAGAGCGAAGGTATTCCCGAGAAGGCTTCAGGAGCAAGTGGAAGAACCCCACACTTCGGATCAATGAGCACTACTATTCTCAAGCCTTCTATCCCAGATGCTACAATGAGCCGATATTGGGTTGAATGCCATAATAATTATAACTGCCTAGCATTCTAATGTTAGGCATGTCCCCTTGAAATATAAATTTGTTAATATCATGCAGCTTTCTAGCGAGGATATGCAATGACCACGAACGAAAAACCACTGACTCAGCTGGGTCTGCTTTGCATACAGATTTCAAGCTTGTTGGCAGATAATGCATGACCATGCCAGTTTCCCTCTTGCCACTCACCACACAATGATGGAATTGACGAGTTTCGTTCAGCGAATATCTTGCCCGTGGCGACCTTGGCGAAGTTCGGGGTGCGTAGTTGCCTGAGTTGGATTTTCGCTTGTGGAAAAGGCGACTGGTTTGGGCAAACAGGTACGCGACAGAGTGACCTTTTCAAATTGAAACGCTTGGCGACAACAAGACTAGATTACACAAAAACTGTTTAGAGTGTTTCGCAAAAACTGTTTGCGACACTCGCCAATCACGCTTGGCGACAAGAGGACCAATGTGTCGCCGCCCCTCCCATCCCATCGCATCGATACTGATGTCAAAGATTCCTAATTCGACTGCCTAGTAGCGAACCTGACAACAAGACTTTCTGAATTCCCTTGGATAGACTGGAACTAGGAGCCAAATAGATAACTGTCGCGTAAGGCAGTGGTCGGGTAAGTGTCTGCTGCTTCGATTGTCTGTTGTTGGGCGACGCGGCTCGAATCGTCGCGTGCCCCTTCGAATCATGGGGTCCATACTTAATGCATACCGCTTGCGATCTAGGAGCGCAGCGACGCGAGCTTTAAACAATATCGTCTTGATTCTGTTTTTCCGTTCGTTCGTCCAATCACGTCACGACGATTCGTCGTGTCGTCGTGGAGTGCTCTCAGCAACAGTGTCCTTCTTTCAGTCAACAAGTGCAACAGACCTCTCGTGATGCACCATCAAGATCGTCCCGCAAGCTCAAGAAGATCCAAACCGAGCACCTGTCCCGAAAACCCCGCGCGCCTACTTAACACCATTCTTTCTTGGTTCAAGAATCATTACTCGGTTCTTTTTCTCATCTGAGAACACGAGTTAGTGCTCCTGCCTCCGCGCTCGTTACCCCCAACAATGGCACAAGCTCCGTCCAACAAGCCCTACCTCGAAGTCACCGCGTCCCCCTGCGTCGTCGTGCTGCTCCCCGACGGCTCGGCGCGCCTCTACGATGACGCGCGCCTCACGGCGGCGACAGTACTCGCCGACTTCCCCCGCCACCTGCTCCTCTCCACCCTCAGCACCGCCACGCCGCGCACCCCCTTGCCACCCGCCGCGCTGCTCAAACCCGGCCGAACGTACTACCTCATTGAAGAGACACACCGTCTGCGATCAGCGGCGACCGTGACGGTGGACGTTTCGTCGCTAACGTCGTCGTCGTCGTCGCAGTCGCCGAGCTTGTTCCGCAAGTCGCAAACCCTGCCCAGCACCAGCGTCCCTGCGTCACGCACTCCCCATCATGCTTCCGAAGCGACGTCTAAAAGCCCTCCGCAGAGAACGGGCCACGACGACCCGAGAAGCAGGAGATCGCCGCGACCTCTTGGAGCTTTCAGCCCGATTTCCCCGCATTTAACGCTATCGCCTTTTTCTCCTCCTCTGTCGGGAGGCAGGATTCCGCTTTCGTGCCATCACGGTCAAACGCGCAGCTCTCCCCCCAAGGAGTGGAAGGAGGCAGTGCCGCTTGTGGACGAGACGGGGTTCATTTTGAGAACCACAAGCACGTGCGAGCTTCGTGGGAGCAGGAGTGGCATTTCGCGAGGCGGTGCGCCTGCCACGGTGGTCCAGTCGCGGCGACAAGATGGTGGACGCATTACTACCACCAACCGAATTCTTCAAGAGCTTGAAGCTCTGGATGACCTAACGATTGATGATACCGCGGACTGTAATTACCAAGGCCGACATTCTTCTCTCGTCGCACGTTCCCAGTCAACCATGGCGGGCCCGGTCACTGAAAGTCGCCGAGCATCGTCCAATGAATCTAAGCCGTCTATGATCAACAAGTTCTCTCAGCTGAAATCATGGAGTTTCAGGAGCAGAGGCGCCACGGGTCGGAAGATGAACAAGAGCCACAGCCAACAAAACATCCCCATCGGCATTCCCGAGGCTCCAGGCCTTGGCGAGGACATTATTGGCGCAAAGCATCAGACTGTGATGCTACGGCAATGTGAAGAGGAGGGGGCATCTTGGAT